TGACCATTATAGACCAGCAACATACCTCTGACCATTATAGACCAGCAACATACCTCTGACCATTATAGACAAAATAAATAAGAAATAATAATGATAATGAACAATGATAAATGAACAAATCTCTACAAGAAGGCAGACTATTACACTCAGAGAAATGAGTGACACTTGGCCAAAAAAGACCGCAATTATGTCACAATTCGGACAATATGTGCCATACATTCTTCTGAGTGTACCTCAGAATTAATAAGCTCTAGCAATTTACCCCAGAATTAATATAGCAATTTACCCCTGAATTAAGAAGTTCTATCAATTTACCCTAGAATTGAGAAGCTATAGCAATTTACCCCAGAATTTTCTCTCTTAAAGACTAATTTTCGATCCTTCCTTGCAACGAATTAACATATTTCCTACGTCAACAATGCCGCTCATTTGCTCTCTTTACAGTGGGACTTACAACACCAGCTTCGTACAATAAGAACTGCAAAAATTTCCAGGAATTTTCTCATAGAAGCTTTAATAAACGATCAACGAATTACATTTATTACTTGTCTTAAAACTTTAGTTAAGATGGGCAGTTTCACAGCCGTGAATGTCTTAGATATATTGAAAAATTTCTTATTCTGCCATATTATCAATATAAAATTATTCTTTCATATTGATAATATAATATTATCATTATCAATATTATATAATGATTAAAATTAACGCAGCCAATGAAAAGGACGCCAATAATGAGACGAGTTAACATATATTGACTTCACCATTAGTATCGCATACTCCCCCTTCCTCCAACACATTTGATGTTGATTTAATGTTCAATCAACGTTCAATTATCGTTCAACACAGTAAATTAGTAAGTAAGCATAGACTACTTAAATATAGTGAGCTAATTAATAGATACGTTAATAATGGCTGACAAGCATCGGTCACGTGAAATTGTTATGAATAGAAGCAGAGGGCATGATTACTACAAGATTATTAACGCTGCACTAGTAATCAATTATTATAGCTTTATTATAGTGGCTATATTACATGACTACGGGGAATACAAGACTGCTCTTTTAAAGATAAGACATTCTAAGATAAAATAAGACATTCTAAGATAAGATATTCTGAGTATTGACATATTGAGCTTGAGTGAAGNTATGCTAGTTTCCTGGAACTTAGGCAGCAATACGCTAGTTACCTGTACCTTAGGCAGCAATACGCTAGTTACCTGTAACTTACGAGGCTAGTAATGGCCGCCAGTACAACTCTCCAACACTAACGGCCACCAATAGCCAAGCTATTGACTTCGTGTAAAGAGTTACTGGCTCCTTCCGTGGCCAGTAGCGCTTGTACATGAGGCCTGTAGCGCGGTAAATAATGGCGGTAAAGTATTTTATTTAAAGTTGTACTGGGTGCCACTCCCGGTCCTGTGTACAAATAACTTTCGTAACCAGGGCTCAGACTTTCATAAAAAAGTTAAGAGATCGTAAGTTCATCAGCCAATCATTGACGTCCTTTTAAGCGAAATCCACCAATCATAGACAAGAAAATAGAGCGTAAGTACTTACGTTCACTTAGCGAGTTTTGAAAGTATTGCCCCTGGACTTTAGATGAGAATACCATTGACGACTTTCATTGTAGCAGTGAATAAGCACTCAAATAGCAACTGAGTTCATAACGGCTTCAAGAAAAACTTTCACAAAAGAAGCCATACACAAAAACTTCCTACTGCCTTTGCGGTCTGCAAATCTTGAACTTATACATGGCACTAATACGCAGCGCATTGACTTATTCATGCCAATAATACGCTTCAAATTGACTTATTGGAGCCGATAATACGTTTGGTAATGTCGCACAATGTGATGATATTGATAAGGTTTATCGAGTTAACGAGTTATCCTTAAAAAACGTATAAATGTAAAAATGTACAATAAATGAGAGAAGACGTTAAATGCAATAAAAAGCAAACATTCCACGCCACGAACTTTGAAATGGAAAAATTCGCCACTTTAGAAAGTACGATAAGATGCACTAACTAAGAAGAGATTGCACGCTTTGGTATCGGTAATATTAAATGCAGATTGTGCGGTCAGAGATTCGTAACTCCAAACAATGATTCTGTCTGAATAATAAAAAAATCCAAGATCCTACATGAATAAAAATAGGATTAAAGATCCTACCTAAATACAAAAAATTGTGTCCAAGATCCTGGGTGAACACAACAATTAGAGTAAAAGATCCTACATCAACATAAAGAAGGTCAAATATCCTACATGAATAATGATAAAAAGTTTAAAAACCTATAGCTATTACAATATCGCAAATTAATGACATTTTATTGTAGTTATAACCTAAATTTCATCACGCCAGGAAGATTAGCGCCGAGGTAAGCGTGGAAATTTCTACAATGAGACGCAGCGAATTGTATGGTAAACTGGGGAAAAATATATTGGTTTAGAACTCTTGTTCGTGAGCTTTTGTAGGCCGATAGGCATTCCAACACCGTGCGATCTATAAGATGATATAATTTCCATTGTGGCTATGATTATTATAGATGTGTAAGAGATCCATTCCAATAAATAACAACAAAAACAATTTCATAAGTGAAGTTTGTTTACCGATTTTCAATTATATATTAACGCTCACAGCAACTACATTTGGTGTACTAGCGTCGATCCATTTAAGACAATATCATGATATAGCCTTTGTTCCTTCGTAATTGTTGAGAATTATATATTGTCGTAATATATAACAATAAAATTGTTCTCGATTTTCCAGCTTATCAACATGAAATAAGAGATTGAGGGGTGACTCATTTGCTTTCTATATGTCACAAATAAAGTTTTGGACACATTCAAACTGCCTGAATTACAGGCAAATCACGTTAAAAAACCTTGATTACAACTTGATTTCAATGCAAAGATGTTGAATCAACGTTATTTCAACGTCAGATGCCTGTTAAGCACGTTAAAAACGTTGATGGATCTTCTCTCGTCAGTGGATCAGATGCACGAGCTACGAACAAAATATTTCTTAGCTCCAATGCTCCACCAACACAAAAAAAGTTTCATGGGGAAAAACTCCCGTAACCATTGAATTTTCAGAACCCATCTAATTTTTGGGACAGCTAATCAAGACAGTTCCACTTATTAGCTAGAGTAAATTGAAAGAAATGCCTCTTACACCAATAGGGTTCAGTGCCGAACCCGCGCCTTTCTGCTCCAATCCTGGTACTCTGAACTTCAAAGTTCAGAGTACCATATAGTATTTTATTATATTTAAGCCATATTTTTATGTTATATTTAAGCCATATTATTCCGGCACATAAACGAAATTTTCAATTTCCCAATAAAATCTATTTATTAGGCTGTGTTAGTGTTGCGTAGGGTGCTGGGAGACGAGGAAGCGCTGCTGCTGCTGGTGACGTCCTGCAGGATGCGGTGGAAGGGTCCCAGCGTGCTCACCACCAATCAGTGGACGCTGTAGTGGTTGTAGGGTAGAACTGCTACCTGGTTCAGTAGTGTACGTACTGTGTACACTACGTACATCTGTCAACAATAGACACGTGAGATAGTGTACGTACTGTGTACACTACGTACATCTGTCAACAATANGCGGTCTACTCACATCCAGCAGCAGAGCGCCCTGACCGCAGCTGAAGGAATCGTTGCTGATCTGAAGAGAAGATACCAGTAACTAGTGGTGCAAGACTAGTGAGCACAACACTACCACATACCAGTAACTAGTGGTGCAAGACTAGTGAGCACAACACTACCACATACCAGTAACTAGTGGTGCAAGACTAGTGAGCACAACACTACTTGTATCGCATTTAGAAGCTACCTTCATCACAAGTATAAGTAACTATTGAACCATACCATCCTAGTTTAAGAGAACCAAATCAAATTACCACCACCTGAGAGCTATACAAATATGATCAGAACTTTGAGCTCTGATGGAGAACCAGGGCATAGTTCTGTATGGTGCAAAGCTTGATAGAGAACAGCGATCAGCACATTACATACACGCCACAAACACAGCACAAACACGCGACAAACACGTAACAAACACGTCACAAACACGCGACAAACATCCCTCAGTCAGCACCACACTGCCCTCCCCTCAGTCAATATAACTAGTTAAGACTAGTGAAGACTATTGAAGACTAGTGAAGACTAGTTAAGACTAGTGGAGACTATTGAAGACTAGTTGAGACTAGTGGAGAATAGCTATTGAAGACTAGTGAAGACTAGCAAGACTAGTGGAGACTAGCAAAGACCAGTGAAGACTAGTGAGCCATAAGGCCGGCGGTGTACTCACATCCAGCAGCAGAGCGCCCTGACCGCAGCTGAAGGAATCGTTGCTGATCTGAAGAGAAGATACCAGTAACTAGTGGTGCAGGACTAGTGGGTACAAACCAGTGGTGCAAGACTAGTGAGTACAAACCAGTGGTGCAAGACTAGTGAGTACAACACTACCACATTTACAAGCTACCTTCATCACACGTATAACTATTGAACCATACCATCCTAGTTCAAGGAGAACCAAATCAAATTACCACCACCTGAGAGCTATCCAAATCTGGACAGAACTTTGAGCTCTGATGGAGAATCAGGGCCTAGTTCCTGTATGGTGCAAAGCTTGATAGAGAACAACAATCAATCACGTCACATACACGCCACAAACGCCACAGTCACGTCACAGACACGCCACAGACACGTCACAAACGCCACAGTCACGTCACAGACACGCCACAGACACGTCACAAACGCCACAGTCACGTCACAGACACGCCACAGACACGTCACAAACGCCACAGTCACGTCACAGACACGCCACAGTCACGTCACANCACAAACACGTCACAAACACGCCACAAACACGTCACAAACATGTCACAAACACATCACAAACATGTCACAAACACGTCACAAACACGTCACAAACACATCACAAACACATCACAAACATGTCACAAACACGTCACAAACACGTCACAAACACGTCACAAACACGTCAAAAACATGTCACAAACATGTCACAAACACGTCACAAACACATCACAAACACATTACAAACATGTCACAAACACATCACAAACATGTCACAAACACATCACAAACATGTCACACACACGTCACAAACACGTCACAAACATGCCACAGACATCACAAATATGTCATAAACACAAAAAATGTCATATCAGTAAATAAGACCAATCTATGAATAACTGGCAAATTCAAATCTCTTCCTAAATTCCTTGCGTTGCTGTCACCAAGCAGATGTTAGACTTATTGATGCTATCCTTTAGAATTAAATAGAATTTAACAGCATGAAAGACAAAATCAACATGAAAATGAATAATATATTCAGATAAGTAAACAAACACCTGAATGAATATTATAAATTTGGTCATTTAAATTGTCTGATGAGATTGTAAAAGTGACTGACAACGGCAGAGATGGTGGGGGCAGAGAGGCGCAGGTGAGGTGGTAGACAGCACGAGCCTGGGACTGAGCACCGCTGCAGGTTCTGGTTCATGTCGTTGCAGTTGTACAGCGGGTTGCGTTCATAGTCCTGGTACCCATCCATACTCAGGCCACAACACTCAACCTGTGTATAATATAGTTAATTGAATGCCAAACATAGTTTTGTATGATGATACTCAGGCCACAGCACTCAACCTGTGTATAATATAGTTAATTGAATGCCAAACATGGTTTTGTATGATGATACTCAGACCACAGCACTCATCATGCGTATAATATAGTAGTTAATTGAGAGCCAAGCATAGTTTTGTATAATGATACTCAGGCAACAGCACTCAACCTTTGTATAATATAGTAGTTAATGTATGATGATACTCAGACCACAGCACTCATCCTGTGTACAAACACCATCAAATGAGCGTCATTCATGATCAATAAGAAGCAGTTTCATGTGTTTCAATCATTTCTGGTTTGGATCAATGTTTTTGTGTCAATAAAGTAACAAATTACGAGCTGCCAGCATCAAATTTTTAGCATAGAATAAAGTGTTAAGTTAAATAAGCAGACATATTTTGCATTGATGCTGACAGAAAACTCAGCTTACTCTAAAATAATAGACAATTCATGCTCATTTGCTCTCAACAATGTTCAAACTTTCTAGGGGTTTTTAAACAAGATTTCAATTTATATAATGAAGTTATGTAAAAAGGGGAATTACTCCACAAAAATGTGTGGTGAAATATGTCATAAACAAACTTGAAGTTATGTAAAAAGGGGAATTACTCCACAAAAATGTGTGGTGAAATATGTCATAAACAAACTTCAGAATATTTTTCACACACAAAGGAATGGCAATAAAAATTTTCATGAATAAATTGACAGCAAGTATAAAGATAATTGAATTAGGTGTAATGCAATGAGCCTAAATAAAAGAATAATTTACTTCATAGACACTAGAAAATAGGAAAGAGATAGCTGAAAATCAAATACAATTGAGATTTAGAACATTTATACATATAGAGAAGCCCACACCTTTGATTGAAGAAAATCAAGAACATCCTGAGAGCTCGGTCTGTAATCGTCAACAAGCGAGCGAGACAAGGACGTCTCCATCACTTCATCCGCCTTCCAAACGAGCAAGAAGCTCCCAACAATCACAGATATTTCAATGATCAGGAAGATGCCCAACACCCACATGTACTGCAATAATGTCAGCCAATTGAAGTGCATACTATTATTATATGAAGCAGACGCATGGGTAAGGAATATCAAACAAATATATAATGCAATAAGTCTCAAAAGCTTTATAGTTTTCATCTCTCAAGTAGAGATACTACTGAGATAAACTATGGTTATGTGAAGTACCATGAAGGCTAAAGTAAACAAATTGGATAATTTACTAATTTTTATCACTAAAAATGTCAACCATGGCCATGAATCTGAATTTCATTGAAAATGCCCAACGATGACACTAATGATTTAAGATTAATATTAAAATTATCAATATTTTACCAAACAAAATTCTTTAAGCAGGGATTATTGATTATCAAATCACAATTTCATTTCTGAAATAAAACAAGTAAAAACAAATAAATATATATAATATAATATTTTAGGTACCAATTTGAGGAGTGGCAGATTCTCTTGACAAGCTCCAAGGCATCCAGACACTGCAACTACCACCAGAGCAGTACCAAGCGGAACCATAGCCCCCGACACGTTGGTACCAAGTAAATACAGGAACTCCAGGTCAATACGTATGTTGTCTTCAACTACTGTGCTGAGGTAAAGACCATAGCCTCCAAATAAGACCACAGCAAAACCCAATATCTGCAACAATAACAGTATCTTATTTGATATCAAATTGTCTAACAGTTTATAATAATAAAGGAAAAATTTGATATTTTTATACAATATAATGGTTAAAGATCACAACAACTTTTATTGTCAACCTATATACAATAGAAAAGAATGTAACTATACATCTAGATTTCATCCAGAAGAAATAAATTGTATAAATTGAATTAACATATTTTTAAATATAACATATTACAATTTTTCTACATATATTTTTTAATAACTTTCATGAAGCACATTTTTTAACAAATATGAAGATAAATTTAAGTAATAAAAGGATAATGTTCAAATACAAGGAACTGAAGAAAGTCTTAATTATCACAACCAGCAAACAGGTCCTCCAGAACCTGGAGTGCTGCAAACAGATGTTAGCTTAAACCAAAAAATTTGTAAGAGAGCATAAAACTTACCCCAAGCAAAACATTGATAATACTGAGGCAGACTTTTGTGCACATGCCAATGATTGAATACTGAACAGGAGCCATGGGTTGTCCATGATAACCTTTGGAACTTTTCATCCTGGATTGCCAAGATTTAGGGATTGTAACTGTAAAAAAATATTGCATTGAAAACTTGCAGATTTAATTATGAGTAACTTCTTTATATGTTAATAAAGACCTTGACCAGCTCCTGGCCTCCTGCTGGGATTACTAACTGGAAAATTGGGCAGAAGTAGGGCTGGAAAAGTCCTATTTCTTTTCTGAAATATCACGGCTCAGTCAGCTCTAATATCATATAATTTCAGTAGGTATGAAATCTTGCAGCTTTAATGTTATAAATTTTTATTTGAGTTTGCACTTCGCAAACATGTCATTTAATAAAATTTTCAACTCTTGCATTCCACAGTATATATCCTTCAATGCTCCTGCCTGCAGCCTCCTGCCAAATGGCGAAAATAATATGCAGAACATAATAACAAGTCAACTCATAACATTTACTCCATGAAGATTGCAGTTTCAGTTATGTCAGAATGGTCATACTGCATTATCACTTGTACAGTTGCTGCTCAAGTGAAGACAAATGCTAGTGACTGTTTTTTTGTAAGGGACTTCCAACATTGTAAATAACATGATAGGTCTTTGTATGCATGGAAGTGATGGGACTTTGTGAATAACAAGTTAGCAGGTCATAAATGGCTTTTCATGGCTAAGATATGGAATTTAAAGGCTCAAAGAAATGGAATCACGGCTGGCAAACCCATGAAGCCACAGCTCAAAGAAATGGAAACACGACTGGCAAACCCATGAGAAGTCATGGCTCGAAAAATCTAGTCGCGGTTTGCCAAGTAGAGGCAGTAATGTCCATGCCTGGGCAGAGGCAATTCAAGCAACCCTGATTAGCAGACATAAATGCCTGGGAATCAGGTCAAGTTAACCCATTCCTATAGGCTATGGCATTTACCCAATTTCGTCAATAAAAATACAAAAATATATTGCCTATTTTATCTAAAAAATTATAAAATTGTCTATGAAATGATTAATTTATCAGCATTTTTAGAAAACTCCTGTCTACTGTCCAGTGACCAAATTCTAAATAGGTAAGTAAATTGGCTGGGACAGGACTCACAGGAGCCTGCAGCCTGCTCACAGTCACAAAGAAATCAGCCTGCCTGGGGCTGGGATCCCATTCCCAGATCAGTCATCTGTGTCGGCCTAGTGTCAGTATGCATTCAATATTAGTTTGCTTTCTCTGTCTAGGCCTATTGTCTAATAATGCTCAAACTTCAAAGTACATCATTCACGTACCTAGAAGTAGGTATGTGCACAAAAAAAAATTTTTTCCTTTGATCGTAATGAAAATTACACCACTGAAAAGAGAAAAAAATTTAGAAAAATATATAAATATGAGTGAAGTAGGTCGAAAAATGAAAAAGATATGAATTTTTTCCTTTTTTCAATTTCACCCCAAAAATGAACCAACTTCAGTCACTTTTTTTGGAAAAACTATCATTTGTAGGTTTCCTATGAGCCAATTTCAAAGTTTTTAGTACCATTGGAAAGCTCATGTTGTAGCTTGTAGGCTATCTATTCTAACTAGAATAAAACATTTTGGTTGAGACTTTGACTGCAGGTGGGAAATGTGTTGGCAAGATCTTCTGAAGGCAAAAATTTGGCTACTGAAGCGTCGCCAAAGATCTTGCTATATTCATCCACTCTCTGCACAGTGGCATCTTGTGCCTTGTTTCATCTCGTTTTGTGCCTCGTCTCATCTCGTCTTGTGCCTCGTCTCATCTCGTCTCGTGCCTTGTCTCATCTCATCTTGTGTCTCATCTCATGTCTTGTCTCGTGTCTTGTCTCCTCTCATCTCTTGTCTCATTTCATCTCGTGTCTCGTTGCATGTCTCGTCTCATCTCATGTCTTGTCTCGTGTCTCATCTCCTCGTCTCATGTCTAATCTCACGTCTCGTCTCATGCTTGACTCCTCATCTCATGGCTCATGCCTTGTCTCATGTCTTGTCTCGCGTCTCATCTCCTCGTCCCATGTCTTGTCTTGCGTCTCATCTCACATCTTGCCTCATGTCTCGTCTCATATCTTGTCTCATGTACCCTCTCATGTCTCAGTCTCGGCAATAGTTCAGGACCAGCATACCTCACTGGCTTGTGACTGAAGCACTGAACTGAACGTAAACAGCGCGATAGGACATGGTAGTAAAACTGTCCGAATGGCTGCAAAGCTCTGAAATTTCAAGAGCATGCTCTAAAAACTATAATCTTGATTTCAAATTATCTTTCATTAATTTCAAAATACGATATCCATGTTTATTTCCCACCCAAATGTTACCTCTTGCACATCCCAGCTAAGCAGGTACCTGATAGTGATAGACATTTCTTGAAAAAAAAAAAGATGTCGTCATAGTTCAAGTTTTTTTTAGTTTGTTTCCAAAAAAAGTCAATCAAATTAAGCTAATATTTTGGCAGGATTTTCAAAATTAAATACCTTACGTGCGCCGATGCGGAAAGTGGCTGTCCGCCATTTTGCCAGCATTGTTTACGTTTGAGCGTACTTTGTGCACATACCTACTAGGTCTAGAAGTTATAACAAGTTCATGAGCTTAGAGTCTTACACTTTACTTCAGTAAAAACCAATAATCAGATGTCATAAAAATTAGGTTTTCCTAGAACAAATTCAACAGTAAACAGTTAGTGTCAGAATTGACCTAAGTTCACTGTCCAAACAGTGTCTGAGTGTCACACTGAGTCACTCTCAGTCTCTCAGCCTACTTAGTCAGTTAGTCTTAACTTCCTAACCCTAAGTGGCTAAGTCTCAGGCAGGCAGCCTGCCAGGCCTAGTTTAAAAAAATTCCCTTTTAGGAATTGCACATTCCCTGGCATAGCCCTACCACTAATTCTAAAGAGCCCGATGTTTACAGACTTGAGAGTTTACATTCTACAAGTAGAGCCAATACTCCAAATAAGCAGAGTAGGATAATGTGCGCTTTTAAAACTAGGAAGAAATCAAACCCGGACACGGCTTAGGTAAAGTTCTAAAACACCGGCCATGCGAATTTTAGAAACGTGGTCGACACTGATATATCACATTGCTGGTTTATTTAATGCAATGCAAATTATATCAATTTTATTATGTTATCATGTCAATCATATCAATTTAATTATATATTAATTATGTACTTACCCACAGGAGGCAGGCCGCCATCTTGCCTGGGTAGGCATTAACATTATTAATTAATATTAATAACATTAACATTATTAACATAAATAACATTAACATGTTATTGTCTTAACATTTGTATATAAATAACAGTAAAAACATGTGTGGACACGGAAAACATGTATGAAAAATGTACTGGTGGAGATAATAACTGAAAAAATATTAGTGAGGAGAATTTGCATTATAAAGTATGAGAAAATTTGTAGAATCTAAGTAAGAAAACATATGAAGAAAAATGTAGATAGTAGATATGCATTTAAATACATCAGAATATGGTGGCAGAATTTGTCCATGAATACAAGTTTCATCAAAAACTCTCATAATTAAAGCACATTCTATTATCTTCAATCAAACTTGTCTAAATTTAATTAAATATTTATGAGAAAACAAATAATTAAGGAAATCTTCCCGCCATTTGTCAAGTCTAAGCACAAGTTCTCATCAATTTCCCCCGACATGTGCATAAGTACATGTGAATATGTACATACATGCAAGTCATTGTAATACTGTATTCATCTATGTTATGTGAATTAGTAAATTTTATATTATTTAACCATAAGGACTTAATAAATTACAAAAAATATTGAATAGTCCAGGGGGTAATTCTATGAATTTTGGTTCATATATTCAAGATCAATTTAGCTTAGTAATTTGATCAGTTCTAAAATATCATCTAAATATAAAACGAAAATATAGTATAATATTTTTAGAACTAATAAGATATGTGCACATGTTCGTATATTATATACCATACTTAATTCCACCCTGCCCTGGCAAAGGAAATAGTTTCCCAGAAAATTTTTATCTTGCATCATAGAAAACGGAATGCGTGACTCGAATAGGCCAGACTATTATATACACATTAAGGAACTTCAGGATCAGAAACCGTTCCAGGAACAAATCCTAGAAGACTAGTACTTACTAGACTTCTAGGATTTGTAACTAGAAGTCTAGTAGTTACAAATACTAGAAATCTAGTGGTTTGGCCTCTCAAGATTAAAAACCCACTAACACTTGCAACAAACCAGATATCAGCAGCTATTCTGCACCAACATTCAAGATATTATTGGCTAACAGTTCGTTTATGAATAACATTACAGCATTTCCTATGAGATTTGGATATTCGAAACACATAAGTAAAGTATTAATAAAAATCGAGTTAGTTAAAAGGTTAATTGATAATAGAAGAACCCACCTGTTAACAGGGGTTTCGTCTTCAAAGCGGCTCCGCTTGGTGGGGGGAGGGCCAGCTCCTCCTCTCCCCCTATACCGGCCCCTCCCCGAGTCTTCGTACTCTAGGATCACTTCAGGGTCTCTTTCTCCCCCGAACCTTCCCCTACCTCTAGGGGAGCTCAGCCTTCGAGGGCTGGGGAACCCTGGTCCATATTCAGTTCCCCGTCCTCGGCCACCTTCCGATATTCGGCGTCCATTTGCGTCCACCAGACAGCGTAGAGTTTCATCGAACCCTCGTCCCAGTCCCCCGGAGACGTCCATTGCACGCCCACGAATTCCAGGGGACACCGTTTCCGGTCGCCATCCTCCAGGACCGTCTATTTCTCTTCCCCGTCCCTCGGGGCCATCAATTCCTCTCCCACGGCCTCCAGGGCCATCCATTCCCCGTCCTCCAGGACCTTCAATTTCCCGCCCTCCTGGGCCTCCCATTCCCCGCCCTCCTGGACCTTCCATTCCTCGCCCTCCCATTCCCCGTCCAAATCCTTCTGACCCGAACATTTCCCGTCCATGTCTTACAGAGCCATCCGCACCCAGTCCACATCTACCTGGTCCGTCCAAATCTCGTCCGCGTTCTCCAGGGCCATCCATATCCCACCCTCGTCCCCCAGGACCATTCATTGGTCGTCCAATTTCCCCAGGGCCGTACATATCCCGCCCACTGCTGTCTNCACTACGTACATCTGTCAACAATAGACACGTGAGATAGTGTACGTACTGTGTACACTACGTACATCTGTCAACAATAGATACGTGAGATAGTGTACGTACTGTGTACACTACGTACATCTGTCAACAATAGACATGTGAGATAGTGTACGTACTGTGTACACTACGTACATCTGTCAACAATAGACACGTGAGATAGTGTACGTACTGTGTACACTACGTACATCTGTCAACAATATAAGTATTTGTCAAGCTATAGCGTGACTGTACATCACTATAAAGTTATGATGAGTGATGTCATCACATCACACGACGTCTCGGCTATTTATTCTACGGATACATAACAGTCCGAACACGCAGCCTTAAATAAAGGACTTTTAAGGTACGAATATGGCTGCACTTTCTGCCCTTGAGTGGGTCATCCTGACCCAGTTTGGCCAGGCAAGAAGGCATATATTATGAGTACTATGATCGCTCTCTGTCCTTGCAGATAATTCATCATATATATTATGACAATATGACTGACTTATTATTTTTGCTAAGAGACTTCACTCATATCACTAGTGTAATAATTTGATAATTTAATTATAATAAATTGTCGTCATTAAATAAGTAGTGACATTGTTGTATCATTAAATATAAAGTAAGATTGTTTATTTAATTATGAAATACGAGCCTACCTTGACGAGGGCCTACCTTGAGGGCCTACCTTGACTTTTTACATTTTATATATGTGAAGTTTCATGATGATCGGATAATAACTGTAGAAGTTTCTCCGGGGGCAGCCCGGTCCCCTTAAATCTGTAGTGACATTATTATATAACTAAATATAAAGTAAGATTATTATCATAAAGTATGAAACAAGAGCCTACCTTGACGAGGGCGCAGAGGACGACGAACGAGACGACGGCGTAGAGCAGCAGCCTGAGCACCGCGGTGAGGGCGCCCGTGCAGCCCTCCGTGTACACCAGCGCCTGGGCCCCACCCCGCTGTGATGACATTAAAGTATGGTGAGTGTTGTCTGCACCATACTGCCCTCAGTCAGCACCACACTGCCCTCAGTCAGCACCACACTGCCCTCAGTCAGCACCACACTGCCCTGTCTGCACCACACTGCCCTCAGTCAGCACCACACTGCCCTCAGTCTGCACCACACTGCCCTCAGTCAGCACCACACTGCCCTCAGTCTGCACCACACTGCCCTCAGTCAGNCTGTCTCTTATACACATCTAGATGTGTATAAGAGACAGATGTTACACCACATCACATACACGCCACAGACACGTCACAAGCACGTCACAAGCACGTCACAAACACGTCACAAGCACGTCACAAACATGTCACAAACACGTCACAAACATGTCACAAACATGTCACAAACATGTCACAAACGCGTTACAAACATGTTACACCACTTCACATACACGTCACAAACACGCCACAAACATGTCACAAACACGTCACAAACATGTCACAAACACGTCACAAACACGCCACAAACACGTCACAAACACGACACAAACACATCACAAACATGTCACAAACACGTCACAAACACGTCACAAACACATCACAAACACATCACAAACATGTCACAAACACGTCACAAACACGTCACAAACACGTCACAAACACGTCAAAAACATGTCACAAACATGTCACAAACACGTCACAAACACATCACAAACACATTACAAACATGTCACAAACACATCACAAACATGTCACAAACACATCACAAACATGTCACACACACGTCACAAACACGTCACAAACATGCCACAGACATCACAAATATGTCATAAACACAAAAAATGTCATATCAGTAAATAAGACCAATCTATGAATAACTGGCAAATTCAAATCTCTTCCTAAATTCCTTGCGTTGCTGTCACCAAGCAGATGTTAGACTTATTGATGCTATCCTTTAGAATTAAATAGAATTTAACAGCATGAAAGACAAAATCAACATGAAAATGAATAATATATTCAGATAAGTAAACAAACACCTGAATGAATATTAAAAATTTGGTCATTTAAATCATCTGACGAGACTGTAAAAATGACTGACAACGGCAGAGATGGTGGGGGCAGAGAGGCGCAGGTGAGGTGGTAGACAGCACGAGCCTGGGACTGAGCACCGCTGCAGGTTCTGGTTCATGTCGTTGCAGTTGTACAGCGGGTTGCGTTCATAGTCCTGGTACCCATCCATACTCAGGCCACAGCACTCGACCTGCGTATAATATAGTTAATTAAATGTCAAATATAGTTTTGTATGATGATAGTCAGGCCACAACACTCAACCTGCATATAATATAGTTAATTGAAAGACAAACATGGTTTTGGGTGATGACACTCAGGCAACAGCACTCAACCTGTGTATAATATACCTAGTTAATTGAAAGCCAAACATACTTTAGTATGATGATAGTCAGACCACAACACTCAACCTGTGTATAATATAGTTAACTGAAAGCCAAACATACTTTAGTACGAGAGTCAGACCACAGCACTCAACCTGCGTATAAACACCATCAAATGAGCGTCATTCATGATTAATAAGAAGCAGCTTCATGTTTTTGAATAATTTCTGGTTTGGATCAATGTTTTGGATGTCATTGAAGTAACAAATTTCGAGCTGCCGGAATCAAATTTTTAGCATAGAATAAAGTGTTAAGTTAAATAAGCAGACATATTTTGCATTGATGTTGACAGAAAAACTCAGCTTACTCTAAAATAATTGACAAGTCATGCTCATTTGCTCTCAACAATGTTCAAACTTTCTAGGGGTTTCTAAACAAGATTTCAATTTATATAATGAAGTTATGTAAAAAGGGGAATTAATCCACAAAAATGTGTGGTGAAATAGGTCATAAACAAACTTCAGAATATTTTTCACACACAAAGGAATGGTGATAAAAATTTTCATGAATAAATTGACAGCAAGTATAAAGATAATTGAATTAGGTGTAATGCAATGAGCCTAAATAAAAGAATAATTTACTTCATAGACACTAGAAAATAGGAAAGAGATAGCTGAAAATCAAATACAATTGAGATTTAGAACATTTATACATATAGAGAAGCCCACACCTTTGATTGAAGAAAATCAAGAACATCCTGAGAGCTCGGTCTGTAATCGTCAACAAGCGAGCGAGACAAGGACGTCTCCATCACTTCATCCGCCTTCCAAACGAGCAAGAAGCTCCCAACAATCACAGATATTTCAATGATCAGGAAGATGCCCAACACCCACATGTACTGCAATAATGTCAGCCAATTGAAGTGCATACTATTATTATATGAAGCAGACGCATGGGTAAGGAATATCAAACAAATATATAATGCAATAAGTCTCAAAAGCTTTATAGTTTTCATCTCTCAAGTAGAGATACTACTGAGATAAACTATGGTTATGTGAAGTACCATGAAGGCTAAAGTAAACAAATTGGATAATTTACTAATTTTCATCACTAAAAATGTCAACCATAGCCATGAATCTGAATTTCATAGAAAATGCCCAATGATGATAATGATTTAAGATTATTATTAAAATTATTAATATTTATCAAACAAAACTCTTTAAGCAGGTATTATTGATTATCAAATCACAATTTCATTTCTGACATAAAACAAGTAAAAACAAATAAATATATATAATATAATATTTTAGGTACCAATTTGAGGAGTGGCAGATTCTCTTGACAAGCTCCAAGGCATCCAGACACTGCAACTACCACCAGAGCAGTACCAAGCGGAACCATAGCCCCCGACACGTTGGTACCAAGTAAATACAGGAACTCCAGGTCAATACGTATGTTGTCTTCAACTACTGTGCTGAGGTAAAGACCATAGCCTCCAAATAAGACCACAGCAAAACCCAATATCTGCAACAATAACAGTATCTTATTTGATATCAAATTGTCTAACAGTTTATAATAATAAAGGAAAAATTTGATATTTTTATACAATATAATGGTTAAAGATCACAACAACTTTTATTGTCAACCTATATACAATAGAAAAGAATGTAACTATACATCTAGATTTCATCCAGAAGAAATAAATTGTATAAATTGAATTAACATATTTTTAAATATAACATATTACAATTTTTCTACATATATTTTTTAATAACTTTCATGAAGCACATTTTTTAACAAATATGAAGATAAATTTAAGTAATAAAAGGATAATGTTCAAATACAAGGAACTGAAGAAAGTCTTAATTATCACAACCAGCAAACAGGTCCTCCAGAACCTGGAGTGGCTCGTAGAAATGGAATCACGGCTGGCAAATCCATAAAACCACGGCTCGAAAAATTCAGTCGCGGCTCGCCAAGTAGATATATTCCATACTAGCTGCAGCCTGCTGGGATTCCTAACTGGAAAATTGGGCAGAACTGAGGCAATTCAAGCAACCCTGAGGAGGCTGAGGGCCTGATTAGCACGCCAGACAAAAATGCCTGGGAATCTGGTCAAGTTAACCCATTTGGCCATTCCTATTTCCTAAGGCTATGGCCCTATGGGAATGGGAGTAAGGTTTTTACCCAATTTCTTCAGCAAAAATACAAAAATATATTGCCTATTTTATCTAAAAAATTTTAAAATTGTCCATGAAATGATTAGTTTATCAGCTTTTTAGAAAACTCTCATGAAGGTCTACTGTCCAGTGACCAAATTCTAAACAAGTAAATTGGCTGCCGGCTGGGAGCCCGCTCAGGGCTCAGCCTGGCTGCCTGGGATCCCATTATCCCAATCCCATTCCAAGTCTCCAGATGAGTCATCAGTGTTACTGTGTAGTGTGCATTCAATATTAGTTTGCTTTCTCTGTCTATTGTCTAATAATGATCAAAGTACATTATTCGCATCTATAATAAGTTCATGAGCAGATGAGCTTAGAGTCTTGCACTTTACTTTAGTAAAAACCAGTAATCATATGTCATAAAAATTAGGTTTTCCTAGAACAGATTCAACAATCAACAGTGAACAGTCACAGTCAGTGTCAGAATTGACCTAAGTTCACTGTCCAAGCAGTGCCCCAGCAGCAGCCCCACTGAGTCACTCTCAGCCTATTTAGTCCTAACTTGTAACTTCCTAAGTGGCTAAGTCTCAGCCTCTCAGTCTCATGCAGCCAGCCTTGAGCCTGCCAAGCCTAGTGTAACAAATTTCCCTTATAGGAATTGCACATTCCCTGGCCTACCACTAATTCTAAAGAGCCCAATGTTTACAGAATTGACAGTTTACATTTTACAAGTAGAGCCAATCCCCCAGATAGGCCAAAGCATAGTAGGATAATGTGCGCTTTTAAACTAGGAAGAAATCTAACCCGGACATGGCATAGGTAAAGTTCTAAAACACCGCCCATGCGAATTTTAGAAACGTGGTCGACACTGATACATATGCATCGACCGCTGTGTGATAGTTCATGCTCACCATGGTTCAAGCTTACCAATGTTTGAAAAAATAATATCATTATAAGTATTTTTTATTCAACCATGATAGCCGATTACCTGAAACCTGTATGCATATAATGATCTAAATATATGATTATTTTGCCGACAGTTAACGTCGTTATAACTATGAGATTTCTTCCAGCTTGTAGCCGTACGTAGCTTTTGTTGACCGTGACTGTCTGCTGCTGTAACTGCAAAATATTTATATTGTTTTAATGAATTAAGTGCAAATCGAACAAGAATTGGTTAGCGGAAAATTTTTGAACATCGTGAAGACAGCCTGACAGGTCCAGCTGAGGTCACGCCATATCCAGAGCCATGTCAAGCATTTTGCGGACGATGCGTAAGCTTTTGCACGCAATCAAGCGTAAATACTCAAGAGAGTCCCCTCAAAAGACGATCAAGCTAGGCCACACCAGTAGTTAGCGGCTGGCGGCTGTGCCCCCACGACGTAAAATGTGCCCTGCATCATGCATGTGATGCAACAGCACCCAATACAACATGAAAACTTGGAAGCTACAGACCAAACTGATGGTACGTTCTAAAAAAACTTACCAAGGACGAACAAACTGATGGTAAGTTGTAGAAAAAAAGGTTTACAAGGAGTTTCCGGTAATCCAAGGCAAGTTTCAACATGAGCATGTGGTAGACAAGACATGCCTTACCAAGACCGTCTGGTAGGACTCATCAAGGTCATGTAGACAAGACACGCCTTACCAAGAGCGTCTAGTAGAGCTGGCCTACCAAGCTTGAAGCACCGCAGAATGAGTGGAAACATTTTCGATGTATTCAGGTATGAAAATGGGGCGTACAATGCGGACCGACTACAACTGAACCTTCGCAGCGGCAGGACCTGAAGTTCGTCGAAGAAAGCAGTAAAAGCTAATCATAACAACTGTCGTTGTTGTCTTCAACAACACGAACGACAAATTCTGTGTGAACTAACAGGGCATCTTCAATCATGAATATAATAATAGGGGCTTCAACGTTTTTATTAGGCCGTAGGGCCTGTCGCCGATTCTCAACATAGCAGAACATTCACAGCATTTTGCGGTCTCGAACTCGCAACTCACTGCTACAATTCTGCTGTGCTTAACCGCTCGGCCTCCTTGCCGATTCTGTCCAGAAACTGGCGCACAGATCTGGGATCGAACCCGCACCTCTCTGCTCCAATCTTGGTACTCTGAAGTTCTGAACTTTAACCACTGGGCCACCCTGCCTATCGTTGACGCTCCGAGTATGAACATCTTCAAAAACAGACTAGCCGAAGCTATGCAGGAGCATATGTTCAGTCTTAAAATGCCTAGCAAATTACGGACCAGGCAATAAGTCCAGCAGCTATCTCAATCAATCGTCAGCTATGGAAAGATCGGGTTCCAAAGGCCGGATCCCTTGTGAATCGAGTCATGAAAAGTACAAGAATCGGCAACAGGCCATGGGCCTATTTCTTCAGCGCCGACACTTCTATTCTATTCTAATACAAGGTTGACCCACGATGACGATTTTTCGCCGTTCTGCGCATCTCTAGAGTGACGTCACTGTGGGCACAAAATGCAAATAGTGGAGATCTAGACATCGTTTTTATGTCATCTTTGAAAGCATTTAAAAAAAGTTACCTCCTCAGAATGGACCAAAAAAGTTATTTACTGCATGCAACTAATCTTTTTGTAAGCAATACCGGTGTTACGAATCAGTTTGGCGTCACGAGCTGACGTCACAGTTGGAATAACAAATGACATCCGCAAGCTGCAGCTGCACTAGCGAAAACCTTGTATTTGTTCAACCATGAAAAAATTGCCCTCATAAAAATGGCCCAAAAAATTTCATTTACCGCAACTAGTCTTATTTTAAGCGAAGCAGAAGTTACAAATCAGTTTGAATCGCGCTGTGACGTCACAGAGACCAAGGTGACATCACGGGTGGAATAACAAATGACATCCCCAAGGCGCAGCTGCGCGTGGGTCAACCTTGTATTAGGTCAACCATGGCTGTACGCCTGTACCTACCATGCATGCAATCAAATAAATATAATTCAAGTACAAGCGGTCTGCAATCAAGCAAGACCGTTGAACAGGTCAAGGTGACTACTGCACCAATATTGTCATGAAAGGAAGGTCCTTATCGCGACAACCGATGTTGTTTAAATACAGTTGATTCCAGATCAGAAATGGATGTTTGTAGTGAATCATGACTGGCATGCCAGTGATATTTATCATGAACTTTCTATTGATGGTCACTTCTGGCGATTAAAATTTTCACACTGAAATAACGTACCATCATATACAAGATATACTGCAAAAAATAGTACATGACCCTCTGACCGGACTCACAACCTTCTTGCACCCCATGATTGGCTCTTCCTGCTCACATGCCCCGCCTCTCAAACAACCTGTGGACATTGAGATTGGGTTAGGTCCGCTTATGTTTGTTTTAGGTGAAGAAATGTTGCAAAGAGTGTAGGTTAGGCCAGAAAAGGATAGGCAGGATACGGTTAGGCCAGAGGCAGTATGGCAATGCGTAACTTAGGCGTGCTTAAAGCGGTGGACTGGGTGTGCACATATGGTTTAAAGGCTTTAAGCAGTCAACTCCAAAAGTTACTACGCCTTCTAGAGTGCATACATATGGAAAGGAATATAAGTAATGTGTTAAGTTTGGCATATAGCGGGTATATCAGTACCGCTATAAGATAAGGGAAGTGCGAACAGGGAAACATACGAGTAATTAACCAGGTGGATGTTGTGATCAGTGTATTTGAGAGCAGAGTAAATTTTGCACCCCAAACGTTGGCGGGCAAGGCCGAAGTGCAATGACTGGTAAAAACTCAACTAACGAAGAAAGAAAAAGTCAATCTATAAGAAGTTCGGATGGTTGCCTGACTGCTAACTATTTGAGGAAAAATGAACAAGAAAATGAGTAACAAATATTTGTGATCCCTACAGGCAAACCTTGTTGCCGACATGCATCCCGCCGAAAAATACTGTAATTTCTTTACATGAGAAGTCCCATTGCCATTACGTCTCGGACAAATTTACTGCCGGACTTGCGGCCGGTCTCCCCAAATTCAGTGCGCATGGATTATCTCCCAAAGTAATGAGCGTAGCTCGATAAAACTTTGTACATGTATTCATTAGGACCTAACGGTGATGTTTAGCTCGCGATAATTTTTAGAATTTCACCTTAATTCGTGAGTTATATGACGATACGTGCCGAAATTTGCAGTGAGCATGACATTTCTTTTAAACGACTGTACAGATTTGAACGAAACTTTGCATAAAGAAACCTAACCTCGCAACGGTGATGTTTAGCTAGTGACCATTTTTTAGATTTTGTCTTCGTTTGAGAGTTTTTTTCACTTTTTCCTCATTCGTGATTTAAACAGCAATTCGTGCTTAAATTCGCAGTGAGCATTGCATTTCTCCTGAAATACTGGACAGATTTGAACGAAACTTTGAAAGTGACTACAGCGGTGATGTGTAGCTCGTAACAATTTTTTCGATTTTGCTTTCGTTTGCGAGTTTTAACGGCTTTACGTATACTGCTCTGGGTCAACGCAAGTTTAAAATTCGACAGAGAAATGCCGGTCGTTTCTCCGTATATCCGTGTAAATCGCAAACAAAGGCAAAATCGAAAAAATTGTCCGAGCTAAACATCATCGCTGTAAGATTAGGTATTCACATACAAAGTTTCGTTCAAATCTGTTCAGTATTTTAGCAGAAATTCAATGCTCACTGCGAATTTAAGACGTCGATCAATTTGGCAGCCGTGCGTTGCTAGGTAAACTAGATAGCCGGAAAGCCTTGAATCTCCTTGAGTTGAAGGCTCGATTAAACAACGGCAGTGGCTAGCCGTCAAGCTTCATTTCCTGGTCTCGGGTGGACCGGGGTGGTGAAATTGAAATAGTGCTGTCATTTTCAAACGAGACTGTGACTGCCTTCACGAATCACGAGTTCACTCTACCGGACCGGTAGACTAGAGCGAAGACTCTACATTCAATATTTTTGTTCTGAAGTATTAACTTGAAGATAATATTGTAAAACATTCTGAAAAAGATAACTTGGAAGTCTTAGGAAGATTTATAAAATATTTCAATATACCAACAGTCTGCATTCAGCTTCAGGCTGATTCAACAAACGTAGACTAGGCTTTTCTTAGTTGTACAAAATCATTTATTTCAAATAATGTTGCCTATTGTGGTTGAAAATCAAGACTATGTTACTGTTGCTCTACCCCCTGTTGCTGAGCACCAAATTTCTCAGAAAAAGTCATTGAAAAGGGTAAGTAGCCTGAGAGGCTGAGACTCTGAGTGAGGCTGAGTCCAACTTTCCAAGAATGAAATTGCTTGTTAGCACATTTTTATGATTACTACTGAGTAGGCTACTGACTGTACTACGGGTTGTCCGGCATTGAACTGGGACATGCCCATTTTGTGAAGAAGCTTTTCACCAGCATCAATGGGATAAATTTTTATCAGAGAAACTTCTTTTTGGTCTCATTCTATTCACAATAAAATTTAGTACTGTCAATGTTGTATGCCAATGATTATTATGATAACCTTGCCAGAATGCCAGTTGCCAGCAGCACTTAAGTTGGTGGCCTTTTTAACCGTTGGTACACTGTCATTTTTCATCACCATTTCCTACAATACAATGTTTGTTATGTACTTTGCCTTAAGAAACAATCTATTTTACAAACCAAACTGAATCATTGCTTTTTTAATTTTCTAGAGCAATCAAAACATCTTTGAACTTTGTAGTCCTTGTTCTTCCTGATATTGCAAATTGATTGACTGTCTGGAATATTAAGCAGATTTTTTCCTAAAATTACAGATTAAAACAATCATTTCACTGGTGATTTTCAAAATTCATGGTTGTAAACAGGATTTTTTTTCTTATTTTTCTCTGTAAAATTTGAAATAGACCAAACTCCAAAGAGTCTTTAAAATAGGAGAAATTAACTCTAATAAATGCTCTATTCAGGAACTTTTTATTTGATCCACTGGTCTAAAGGTCGCACTGGCTTCTGTCTAATTTTGCCAGAGAGGCTCTATTGATAGTTATATTCATTAATTAGTTATGATGTTACCGATGTATGATACTATATGTCAAGTAATTGTTGAGAAAATTAGTTGAATTTTAGTTAAGTTTTATTGTTATTAAAACTGATGTCATGAACATTTTATTACTATCTATTGTACTAAATTTACTAATAAATTTAACATCAATTAAAAAATATAAAGTGTTATATTTTTCATTCATGGATGATGCAGCTTCCTGAGACAAAACACTAATGCCTATTTTAGTACGTACCTATGTAAATGTGAATCCAATTTTACTATATTTTGCCTCATATTATATTAAACAAAAGTAAAACCTAATGTTATTGTTACAGAGATGGAAAGAGCTTCCACATTTACTACGTATGCTGCTGTGTGTGGTATGCCTGTTGGTCATTGCCTCACTGATTTTGCTGTGGGAGCGTCACCAGCAGCAGCTGCGGGAGGAAGCAGTGGCCGCCGCACTCTTGCTTCGGCAAGAGCAGGAAGAGCCCAAAAATGTAGTAAGTTACTCCTGCTTTCACTTAATATTGCAAAATTAGCATAATAAATTGTGTTTCTGACATTGCTTTCTCCAATACAAGTAGGGTACCTATAGGTGATTAGACTACCAGAAGTTGGAGTTATCTTTGATTTGCTTATAGTAACTCAGTGAGAACACTTGGATGTGTAGACATTTTTTAAACCTAGCCTCAGTTACTTATAAATGTTCTCAACGTTAAAGGAGCCAACTTTATAATTCTTAATTTTGACAATTTTATATAGCATTTCTCTAACAATAGAATTAATGTGGAGTTTACCCATGATGGTTTATTGAACAATTTTGTTTCTGCATAATTATGAAAAGTTACTAAATTTTTGCTACAGAATCATATAATTTTGCAGGTGGATGTCCAGAAGATAGCAGCAAGCCCCCTGCTACAGAATTTAGACACCAAGTCAAAAGACATTTTGTGAGTATATATGCCATATACTAAAAAATATAACTCAGTACTCACTGCAGTGAGTGACAGAGAGAGCATTTTCTCGTCGACAAAAAATTGAGGTCACAGACGGACAGACAGAAGGACATGGCGAGCACAATAGTGCATTTTTTCTGTAAATGAGAAAATGCGCTAAAAAGCGCCAGCACTGGTGGTGATGGGTCTGTCTGAGAGTGCATTTTCACTGTTCAATAACATCTTCTGGTATTGTTAAATATTCTAAACAGATGAGTTTGTGAAACTTGAATGTTATTAGATCTCACTCTATGGTAAATATTTTGTTAAATTCCTCAGTGGAATTATTTAATGTAATTGAACTTACATTGCCCAGACCCGTGGACGTGGGCATCCCTGGCGAGAACAACAACCTCAACCAGATCCCCCCTCCTGGCAGCCGTGAGTGTACAAAATACTGCCTTATTACAATAATTTAAATTCCTCCCATTGATCTGAATCACTGATTGATCCAAATCAGTGGTGCTTGTACATAAAAATAATGATATTTTCAAATGATACTTCAGGTATTGTATAGTATGTCCATGCATACAGCAAAATGAATGAATCATTGTTCAAATAGCTGCAGCTTTCCTACCAACAGGACTAATAAATAACAGATATTGCTCTGATATGCACCTTTGCTGGGTCAAACTAGGTTTGCATGACAAACACAAGGGGTAAAATTGCATTGATATCTGCATTGAGTGATCTGCATTGTTGCCTTCGCTATCATACGTTCTCAGTTCCTGTCGCTTTGTTTGGCAATAACTGGTGCAAGATATACCCAACTGAAGCTCCAGCAAACCTACTACCACTACCACCACTTCTACTACTACCACTACTTTTACTACTACCACTACTTTTACTACTACCACTACTTCTACTTCTACCACTACTTCTACTACTATTACCACCACTACTTCTGCTACTACCTCTACTACTTCTCCTACAACCACCACTACTACTTCTACTACTTTGTTCAGGGAGTGCCCGAGCAGAGGCGGTGGTTGGGGCCATGCAGCATGCGTGGCGGGGCTACCGACAGTTCGCGTGGGGCCACGACCACCTGCGCCCCATCTCCCAGCAGCCCCACGACTGGCTCAGACTTGGCCTCACGCTCATAGATGGCCTCGACACCTTGTGGATAATGGGCCTCAAGACAGGTGATGATGGGCCTACATTGATGGTGGTGGTGGGGCCCCACACTGATGGTGGTTGGGCCCACACTGATGGTGGTGGTGGTGGTGCATATAACTGAATTTAAGTAAAATGAAGAGTTTGTCACCACAACTCATCAACTTCAAGTTAGTTTGTAGTCTCAATACTCAAAACCTTTATTTTACTTTGTACTGTTAGTATTAATGGGATTATATTTATTGTAGTGGAGCCATATGGTTTGCATCAAGTAAATACATCATTTTATACTAAAGAAGAAATTTATTTTATGTTCATTTTACTTGAATAATTTCTGCAATTCAGTAAAATTAAATGATTATTCAGGTATTTCTTCTGTTCATGACTTACCTTGTTAGTGATTGAGATGCAAACTTTTGATACGATAAACCTCCTTATGTTCTTGTCCATTCAACATTCACTTCTTGAATCATACTTCACAAACATGCATAAACTGAACTACATATTAATCCGTCCATGCCATCATCCATGAGGTCATACCTCAACTGAGATGATCATACCTCAACTGTTGGTGAAGCTTCAAAACATTTTAATTGAAGTCTCTGTCTTCAATTCATGAACGTCGCTTATTCATTACTGCTATAATATATATATATATATATATATTGGTGTAATTCGGCAGAAGCTTTTCTTTTATGCAAGTTTGATTGAAGACCAGAGCATGCTTCTTATTAATAATCTTCTTATTCGTCTTTTCAATGACTCGAACTAAGTTTCTAGCTGGCGCCGGGAGATCAAACAGTAGGTTACCAAAAGACATTTTAATAGAATGCAACGTAATTATTTACAGAGTTCAAAGAAGGCCGTGACTGGGTCGCCCATCACTTAGACTTCGAGATGAACCAGAACGTGAACCTGTTCGAGACAACCATACGCGTGCTGGGGGGACTGTTGTCCTGTTATCACCTCACTCACGACCAGGTCTTCATAGACAAGGCTGTGAGTTGCTTTCTACACTCACTGCAATGAGTGATACTTTGTCATAATTGTGACGCACTTGTACCAGGTCTTCATAGACAAAGCTGTGAGTTACTTTATACACTCACTGCAATGAGTGGTACTTTGTCCTAATTGTGACGCACTTTTGATCTCTCTTTTGGCCCTGGAAACTAGGCATATCAGTGTTACGTCCGCTCTCTGTGCCGTTTGTATGAAACTGTGTCACTATTTGGACACATTGACCTATTCATATTTATGAGTGTGATAATTTACCTTCTGACCTACACTCACATGCTGTAGTATTCAAATGCACACCTTATTTCTTTGAGTGTTTTAAAAGTTTGCTAGCTAATTTTCAAGTTGAAGCAGCACAAACGTTATCCTCACTCCAAGCATATAAGACTGCTAAGATTCATAAGATCCATTGTTGTTCTGACGTAAAAGTTCATCATATTTGAATTCACATTGAAATATTCTCAAAAAAGCGATGATTTTATTCATCAATAATGAAATAATTCATCATAATCCATACTAAGAATGGATCTAATAAATTATTCTCTTATTAGACATCGTTATGCGTCATAATGATTATCCGTTGTGTACCGACAATTATCATCATGTTCAACATAGTTATCACTTATCATTATCATCATGTTGATAAGTAACATGAAGACCCTGTCTGCTACAGACAGACCTAGCAGACCGACTGCTGGCAGGGTTCAACATCATGTTGCTAACATGTAGACCCTGTCTGCTGCAGACAGACCTAGCAGACCGACTACTAGCAGGGTTATCACCATATTGCTAATATGTAGACCCTGTCTGCTACAGACAGACCTAGCAGACCGGCTACTAGCAGGGTTCAACATCATGTTTATAACATGTAGACCCTGTCTGCTACAGACAGACCTAGCAGACCGACTACTAGCAGGGTTCAACATCATGTTTATAACATGTAGACCCTGTCTGCTACAGACAGACCTAGCAGACCGACTACTAGCAGGGTTCAACATCATGTTTATAACATGTAGACCCTGTCTGCTACAGACAGACCTAGCAGACCGACTACTAGCAGGGTTCAACATCATGTTTATAACATGTAGACCCTGTCTGCTGCAGACAGACCTAGCAGACCGACTACTAGCAGGGTTCAACATCATGTTGCTAACATGTAGACCCTGTCTGCTGCAGACAGACCTAGCAGACCGACTACTAGCAGGGTTCAACATCATGTTGCTAACATGTAGACCCTGTCTGCTACAGACAGACCTAGCAGACCGGCTACTAGCAGGGTTCAACAGCGACAGCGGGGTGCCCTACAGCGATGTTAACCTCGCCACCCGCAGCGCCTCCAAGCCCAAGTGGGGACCTGACTCCTCCACCTCCGAGGTCACCACCATACAACTAGAGTTCAGAGACCTGTCTACCATCACCGGCAACCCTGCTTATGCTGTCAGTCTTTTATAATGTTATATTATTTGTATATATAGTTTTAATATCAATATAGATATATAGCATCTATTATAATATGTAATACAGCTCGAGTTCCGCGACCTGTCTACCATCACCGGCAACCCTGCTTATGCTGTCAGTGTTTTATAATGTCATGTTCATTTTAAATATACCGTAGTTATAGCAACATTTAATCAATTATATTATATAATATAAATAACAAATAGGTGTATGGCATCAATTATAATGTATAATGTAAATACCAAATAGATATATAGCATCAATTTGTCTTCAAGTTTTGGCTGACTACCGGAAAACTGTCGCATTTATTATTTTTCACTTCCGTTTTTTTTTCTATTGCATTTGGAAGAAGTGATATCCGCCACCACATTTTTAGTAACTACATAAAAGGTTTGAACATAAATATTAGCATGTAACATTAAGCTAAAGATCACCATTTGTTTCAAAAATATTTTGTATGTATAGCTAAATTCTTTATTTGAACGGTGCAAGTCGTGAGTGACATAAATGTACATAATGCATCCTTTTATGTTCACAATACACATGCATGAATATTTCACACATTAGGTGCTTTTGATTATGCTTATTAACGTGTATTTTATGCCTATTAACCTGTATTTTATGCCTATTAACATGTATTTATGCCTATTAACCTGTATTTTATGCCTATTAACATGTATTTATGCCTATTAACATGTATTTATGCCTATTAACATGTATTTTATGCTTATTTGCATGTATTTCTTTCTAATTAACGTATATTTCATGCCTATTAACATATATTTTATGCCTAGTAACACATACTGGTTTGCAGGCTGCGGTGAACCGCGTATCCAAGCACGTGCACGGCCTCGTGAAGCACGACGGGCTCGTGCCCATCTTCATTACGCTTATTTCATGCCTATTAACGTGTATGTCATGCCTATTAACGTATATTTCATGCCTATTAAGATGTATTTATTTGCAGGCTGCGGTGAACCGCGTGTCTAAGCACGTGCACGGCCTCGTGAAGCACGACGGGCTCGTGCCCATCTTCATCAACGCTGCCAGCGGCGACTGGCGCCCTCACTCCACCATCACCCTGGGGGCGCGGGGTGATACTTACTACGAGTACCTCCTGAAGCAGTGGCTGCAGGGGGGCAAGACCGAGACTTGGTGAGACTAGTGACTACCACTCACTACCAGTGGTATGGTAGTGTCTGCCAAGTGCTGAGTGGTAGTGTCTGCCAAGTGCTTAATGGTAGTGTTTGCTAAGTGCTGAGTGGTGCTGCTAAGTGCTGAGTGGTATTGTCTGCTAAGTGCTGAGTGGTGCTGCTAAGTGCTGAGTGGTATTGTCTGCTAAGTGCTGAGTGGTGCTGCTAAGTGCTGAGTGGTATTGTCTGCTAAGTGCTGAGTGGTGCTGCTAAGTGCTGAGTGGTATTGTCTGCTAAGTGCTGAGTGGTGCTGCTAAGTGCTGAGTGGTATTGTCTGCTAAGTGCTGAGTGGTGCTGCTAAGTGCTGAGTGGTATTGTCTGCTAAGTGCTGAGTGGTGCTGCTAAGTGCTGAGTGGTATTGTCTGCTAAGTGCTGAGTGGTGCTGCNATGCCATATCACGAATAACGTTATGACTGTTAGTGGCATGCCATATCACGAATAACGTTATGACTGTTAGTGGCATGCCATATCACGAATAACGTTATGACTGTTAGTGGCATGCCATATCACGAATAACGTTATGACTGTTAGTGGCATGCCATATCACGAATAACGTTATGACTGTTAGTGGCATGCCATATCACGAATAACGTTATGACTGTTAGTGGCAAGCCATATCATAACACGATTCAGAACAGTGAGCAAAAATAAAGCACAGAATATAACGAAGGCGCTTTTAAAAAATTTTATATCATTATTTCAAAATTAGAGTAGATGCTTCAGGTAGTTTAGTGAATGTTTTGAGAACGTTTGGCTGAAAATCTTCATACGAGCGACTAAATGAATTTTGAACAAATAACGGGCAGATTTTTACTGTTTAATTTTAAAAGATAAATGCTACAAGCACTTCTTTGTTTAATAATAATATATAATAATGACCGTAAGGCTGTCTCTTATACACATCTAGATGTGTATAAGAGACAGATCTTGCACAGCGCACCAAACCCAACAACTACCTCTTCTTCGGTGAACTTCATGGCTCTGCCAAGTTAGTGTGTTGAGTTCTTAACAGGTCTTATTGATATTATTTATTTATTATCATTGATATTACCTCTTCTTCGGTGAACTGCATGGCTCTGCCAAGTTAGTGGATTATGTTAAGTTCTTAACTGGTCTCATTGATATTATTTATTTATTCTTAGTAATAACTGAACGGAATGTCTCTGCCAAGTTAGTGGATTATTTCACGTTCTTAAGAAGACTTATTGATATTATTTACTTATACTTAGTATAAGTAAATTAGCGAAGTTAGTAGCATTTCTTATTGATATTACTTATTTATGCTCAGCACTAACACTGAACAATTGATAACAATATGCATTGTTGAGCAGGACGTTCGTGAACAAGATGGACGAGTTGACGTGCTTCCTGCCGGGGACGCTGGCCCTGGGACACCACCACGGGGTCCCGGACAGCATCGTCCCGGGGGTCGCAGGGACCCCAGGGTCTCACCTGGAGCTCGCCAAAGACCTCATGGAGACCTGCGCCCAGACCTGGCTTAAGCAGCCCACGCACTTGGCACCTGAGATCACATACTTCAACTATAGGGTCAGTTCAAATAAAGCATAGGTAATTCTGAATTTTGGTTATAATTTAATATTAAATAAAGCTTATATAAAGCAGTGAAGAAGGCCCGAGCGATGTTAAGCAATTACCGGTATAGGCAAAGACATGGAAAGAGTTATGGCAATGGAGAAGCAAAGAAACAGACAGCGGTCTAAAGCTTGGAAAAGGTTATATTTTGATATTAAATATAGCTTATATAAAGCAGTGAAGAAGGCGCGAGCGATGTTAAGCAATTATAGGCAGGATGTGACGTGACCGCAAAGTTGGGGTAGAAAACCGTGAGTGCGAATTTGTTTATAGTTTGGAATGACCGAGGGCATTGAGAGGGCTGACCTTTGTGCAACTAAGGAGGGTGACGATAAGGAGCTTATCTCATGGCAGCAAGACGATAAGGAGGTTAACGATGCTTATCTCATGGCAGCAAGACGATAAGGAGGTTAACGATGCTTATCTCATGGCAGCAAGATGATAAGGAGGTTAACGATGCTTATCTCATGGCAGCAAGATGATAAGGAGGTTAACGATGCTTATCTCATGGCAGCAAGACGATAAGGAGGTTAACGGTGCTTATCTCATGGCAGCAAGACGATAAGGAGGTTAACGGTGCTTATCTCATGGCAGCAAGACGATAAGGAGGACTTCTTCGTGAAGAGCAACGACGCTCACTACCTCCTGAGACCTGAGACGGTCGAGAGCCTCTGGTACCTGTACCAGGTGACTGGTAACACCACCTACCAGGACTGGGGCTGGACCATCTTCCAGGTGAGGCTGTGGTACCTATATTAGGTGACTGATAATAAATAATTTTGTTTATAACGATCTCCTGCCAATGTTTGCTTTTGCGTTGCTAAACTTTATATCTTTATTATGAATGTAATAACTGTGTTGCGTGGCAGGGTATAGAGAAGCACTGCCGTGTTGCCCACGGCTACACGACCATCAGTAACGTGCGTAACCCCGCGGACACACGACCACGGGACATGATGGAGAGTTTCTTCTTAGGAGAAACTCTCAAGTATTTCTTCCTGCTCTTCTCGGACGACCAGCGCTCCTTCTCCATCGACCGCTGGGTCTTCAACACTGAGGCCCACCCGCTGCCTCTAGCGCCCCTACACACAACTCAACAACTAACTTTGTAGTTAACTAGTCACTAGTCTTAGTGTTTTATGATAGAATCTTTCTAAGTTTGTATTCTCTGTATACAATCTTTCTATGTTTGTATTATTCTCTGTATTGTATTTGAATTATGCAGGGCTCTGTACCAGCGTTGCTCTTCCCTATTATTGAAAATTTAGTTTACTTTCCATCGACTTCCACGTGCAATTTAATTATTAATGTAAGTTTTCTATTAGATTTTTTTTTCTAGCGTATTTAACTGCAAATTTGAGATATGCAATTTGATGCAAATCCTTGGCGCGTTGTCTAAACAACGTGAATGTTGTTTTAAACAACATTCAACTAATGTTGTTTAAAACAACCTAAACAACTAGACAACTAATGAAATGTTCAATATTAATGCCTGTTTTATGAGCTAACCGTCGAAATTATTCACTGTAGCATTTAATTACATCTCTAATATTCGGTTTTCAAACCCTGGATATTACATGCTTAAATGTTGTTGATGAGTGATGGAGTCTGTTCAAAGACCGGCCCGCTGTATATTTTGTATAATACGTTAATTGTGAGAAAATATTATGAGTGCTATTGTTAACTTCACTTTTATTGTGGTATTTAGTCTTCACATGGGATATAAGATTCTTCTCATAAATAGCATTTAGTGCTGAGGGGAAGACTGATGTTACGTTGGTTCTTGTTGACATGTTGCGTTATTTTTATATTATTATTATTTCAGTTTGACGGAGATGCGTTTGGAGAAAGTACAAAACCGCGACAGATAAGATTGTCTTATCATTGCTAATTTGTAAATAGCTCGCAGAAATATCTTGATTAGACTCTTAAGTGTACGGAATTTTTATTGCGTCAAAACTTCAACCGAAGTTTTGAAGCAATATTCACACATGTGTGTCTTGCTTGTGTGATGTGTGGTAATGTGTGACGCAATATTCACTTGTGTGAGTCATGGTGACCCATTTTGGCTCGGTAATAGGGCGTAATTAGGTCTGAACTCTGCACGTGCTGTGGGTTACAAAGTGTGTCCATATTTGGACCGCGTGACCCAGACATTTTTAAGGGTATTCTCCCGCCCATTAATGGCTGGCATGGAGTGAGGGACCGAGGCAGACGAGGGGCCGAGGCAGACGAGGGGCCGAGGCAGACGAGGGACCGAGGCAGACGAGGGACCGAGGCAGACGAGGGACCGAGGCAGACGAGGGGCCGAGGCAGACGAGGGACCGAGGCAGACGAGGGACCGAGGCAGACTAGGGGCTTGCACATAATACATAGTCGATGATTTTTATGCTATTTTTCAAGAGTGATGAATAAAAATGCGATGATATTGATGTTGCAATTCGAGATTTGTATATAAAAAAAGAGGCACTTTTAGTCATGCAGTATTATGCGCTACCTTACCTTACATGAACAGCTGTTGGCAGCACTTGTTTCCTTGACATGAACAGCTGTTGGCAGCACTTGTTTGGTTCTCAGCTGCCCAAAGATAAACTCAATTGAGTATTTAGAGATCTTGAGTCACAGCTCGTGTAGTATGTTTTAATTGTTTGATGAGTTACATGTATATAATGATTGACGCAATGGTTCTCTGCTAGTGCTGTGAGCTAGAAAGTGTTCACTATTTTGACAATGGGACCCGTACAAATTTATTAGTGTATAATAACGTTTTCTCGGCGTCTCCGCTGTGTTAATAATTGTTATTAGTCATTAATGTTCATCATATTTATATTCCTGTTTAAAGTGAACTTTGAAACTTGAGTTTAGGCAAAAAAAAATAAAGTAGCCCAAGTGGTAAAATTTGTGGTGTGTAAGTTTTGTTGCAGTTCAATAAATGGCACAATAGTGAGTCAGCACAATGTTTGTCTTAGCACAATGTTACTTCAGTACACTCAGTTCACTAAGTGGTTCAACAGCACCGATGTCTTGGAAGTCTCAGCTCAAGTATATATTTTAGAACTAAATAGCTAAATAATTTGTAATAATGATAATATGCTGATGCAATATATATAAATGAAATTTGATATTGCTGGATAAGTATTTAGCGTAATTTTTATTTATATTTATATTTTTCCTTTTCGTTATAATGCACTCACCCTCACTCCTGCCTCATCATCCCTCACTCCTGCCTCACCATCCCTCCCTCCTGCCTCACCATCCCTCCCTCCTGCCTCACCATCCCTCCCTCCTGCCTCACCATCCCTCTCTTCAATATTTATTGAGTTTGTTTATAAGGTTGTTATTTTATCAGAGTTTATTGTTGTTCAATGATTTTTTGCGAACATGTTAATGTTTCCTTTCTTTCCGGCATCTTTCCGCAACTTTTTTAGAGTAAAAAGAAAATAAAAAATACGTGCGTTTTCTCACGTTGATGTCTGATGACAAGATGATATCTTGCCCGGGAGGATACATAAGAATATTTTCTCCCAATAACGGGATATTTTTAAGAGTATTTTCTCGGAATACGATATTTTTAAGAATGTTTCCCCATAATGCGATGTTTGAAATATATTTCTCGCAATATTTTTTAGCAAATGCACGAAATAAGGCGATTAGAAATCTCTGTATTAGGAATCTTGTATGGAATCGTTGTTTTTATTTTGTGTTTTAATATCGACTTGAGGGCCTAATGCTAATATTAATATTTTATTGCTACGTCATCTTGTTGAACGAATTAATATACCGGCCGTAAGGAGCCAGCTGCGACTTCGAGCTGAAAACGTCATAATTGAATCACCCGATAAATTCATATTCAGTGTCGCTTGTCCAATATTCATCTACTAAGTATCTAACAATCTAATAATATATTATCTAATAATAATAATATTATAATGATATAATACATAAATACGAAATTTACTTTATTCTATAATTGGACAAGCTGACAGCTCTTGAAGCATTTATAAACGTGAAAAATTAGCGTTTTCTGGTATGCATCTTTTCTAAAAATGTCAATTTCATAGACAGCCATGAATGAATTTTAAAATTGCTAAATATTTCTTAACGAAGAAAAATTTGAGGTAGGCGCGACTCTGCATTAGGGTCCGCCCAGGACTCGGGGAGCGCGTAAATCAGCCGCTCATGTCAGCCTCGGCCCAGGGTTGGAACGGCAGTCTCTGGGCAGCCTGCAAGCTCGGCCGACCCTTGTCATACTCTCAGGCGACTATAAAGTCGGATAGGAGATTCTGACTATTTATAAATTTTATAGAAACTGATTTCGTTCGGGTGGCCCATTAGACCCAGAATAACTTTGCGCCGGGTCTAGTGACTATTCGGCCGAAGTCTGGGCGGTTCCCGAATTTTGCTAGGGTTGACATGCACGATCTAGGATTCTATTTGGGCTTTATTTATGCCCAGCAGTTCAATTGTTTTGTTTTTAAGCACTTGATTATTCAACAGCTGATGTTCTTTTTGTATTACCATTGATATTGATTCTACGTCTCGCTGTGATCAATTGTTCTTCATTCACGAAGCGATGTTAATTTTACAACAGGAGAAAAAAAAACGATAATTTATTTATATTTTATCAAAAATATATTCCTTCATCTTGTGTTGATCTGAAGTCCTAATGAACTGGGCCTATACTTTCAAAAAAAGTTAAAAGATCGTAAGTTCGTCAGCCAATCATTGACGGCCTTTCAAGCAAAATCCACCAATCATAGACAAGAAAATAGAGCGTAAGTACTTACGTTCACTTAGCGAGTTTTGAAAGTATGGCCCCTGGCGTGTAGGCGTGTACACTCAGAACAATAAGTTAGACTTGCCAAATAGCGATGCAGATTTTGCACTTATGTGGGTCATCCTGACCCAGTTTGTACCGGCAAAAAGGGTATCAGTGATACGTCCGCACTCTGCTCGTGCTCGTGGTAAAATTTGTCCTTATTGGGACATTATGACTCATTTTTATGAGTGAATATGACTCATTTTTGAATGATTATATTATATATGATGATGATTACTTTATATGATTACATTACTTAAGACATTATGAGTGTTGAACATGACTTGCAGTTCTAAGAACGTAGTTTCAGCTAAGAAATATAGAGCAGCTCTGAGCGAAGGAGTGAAGCAGGTAATGTTTATCATCGTATGTTGAATTGAATGCCAGCGTTTATCGTCGTATGTTGAATTGAATGCCAGCGTTTATCGTCGTATGTTGAATTGAATGCAAGCGTGAACAGGTCTGGGACGCTGCGAGTTGGACGCTTTATCATATGCATTGTAATTCATCAGTCCAATTGTCCAGTGTATACTTTGTGTAGCTCACACACTGACTTGTATTGTTTGTCTGTGTTGCTCACACACTGACTTGTATTGTTTGTCTCTAAAACCGCAGGGAAGCTCACTGTCTCCGCTGTATTGTCTCCTTGATTTTTTTTTAAATATTTCAATTTTTGTGTAATTAAAGACAAAGAGTCGCCGCCAGTCTTATCTCTTATCTTCATAATTTAGGACGAAGAGTCGCCGCTTTACATTTTTATACTAAGGAAAGGAGACAGAACTGGCGTGAGCTTGGGGGAGTGACAACCCCCCGGTGGTCCCTAGTTATTTTGCTCATATATCATTTTTATCATATTGTGCACATTTTGCTCACTCATTTATCATTTTGCAATTGTTTTTCATTTTGCTCATTTCTCATTTTGCGCAAATTTTGCTCACGGAACAAAAGAATCCTGAAAACTTTTTTATCTTCTGCACTTGGGGAAATTGATGAGACTTTGTCCAAATAGCGATGCACTTTTGCCCTTGGGTCATTTTGACCAAGTTTGGCGTAGACGTATGAGTGCTACACGCAGCAAGTGTGTCACCATGAGGACAACGTGACCCGTCTATTTTTTTGAGTGAGTCAAAGCAACTGCAATATTATAACTCAGCTTGCGAGAGGTTGCATTCTCCGTAGATTTTTTTTTTTTTTTTTTTTTGTGGCCTTAAAATATAGAAAATCTGTATGAACATTGCCAGATTCGATGCAATCTCCGTAGATTTTTTTTTGTTTGTGGCCTTAAAATATAGAAAATCTGTAGGAACCTCGCCAGATTCAAACGTGTAACTGGATTTTATGTGCAAGGCGAGCACTGATAATTTTGAGTGTCGAACATTACATAGTTTATTGGCACACGCATACAAAAATAGTTCGAACATTTTGATAAATGAGACCAAATAAGCAATTCATTTGTAAAGCATGCGCTTGAAATTTCAAGTCTACTGCATTTTAGTTTATTGTAAACCAAAAAAAAAAGTCAAGTTTATCATGAACCACACAAAATATTTTATCGTAAACCAGACAAAATATTTTATTGTAAACCAGACAAAATATTTCAGTTAATCGTAAACCAGACAAAATATTTCATCGTAAACCAGACAAAATATTTTACTCTAAACCAGACAAAATAGTTCATCGTAAACCAGACAAAATATTTCACGGTAAACCAGACTAAATATTTAAATTGATCAAAAACCAGACAAAATATGCAAGCGTTTACCGCATATTTTGTCATGTATACAACATATTTTTTTATAAGTTAATCGTAAAGCAGACAAGAAAGGAAACATTAGGAAGATGTCGACGCCTCTCATAGACTTCGAGAGCAGCAGAGTGCGGGACCAGAAGAGTATATAATAATGACCGTAAGGATTGCATTGAAAGGTTCGGAAGCAACACGAAGCGAAGCAAAAAGAAATAGAATCTTGCAAGAAGCGCGGCGAAGACTCGTGGATGCTGCCGGCCGTAGAGAAGTCCTTGCTAAGCCAGAACGAGAAACTTTCCAAGAAGAAGAAGAGCAAAAAGGAGAAGAAATATAAAAAAGCCAAGAAGCAAAAGAAGTACGAGAAGCGTTCATCCAGCTCATCGGTGAGACGTTGGGTATGATGCATTTAACAAACTATTAAATTTTTATGCATTTTCCGTGATCATTTAATTTAGGTGAAGCGAACATGCCAAATGATTTTCGGTTCAGAACGAATGGTTATCATTTTATACTCGTACTTCACTTGATAGAAATTATACGAACCGCTCAATTATATTCAGTAACACTCTTTTTTTAGGGCGTACCTTCAGTAATACTCTTGTTTTTTGAATAGTTATTCAGTAATACTATTGTTTTGCTATATAAATTCAGTAAAAGAATTGTTTTTCTGTAAATATATTCATAAAAAATTTCTATCTTTATTGCTTGTATATTCCATAAAATTTGTTTTAATGAATGTTACTATTTACCAAAAGTTAATTCAGTAAGACTTTTTTATCTTTTGAATATCTATTCAATAGGACTACATTATTTCTATGATGTATGATGCGATAGAGTCTGTTAATGAATTACTAAACGTTAATTCAGTAAGCCTTTTGTCTTTTGAATATCTATTCACTAGGACTATTAATCTATTCAATAGGACTATTATTTCTATGATGTAAGTGATGCGATATATATAGTCTGCATGTTAACTAACCACGCAGGACAGTAGCAGCGAGACCGAGTGGGTCGAGAAGCCCGCCGCCCCCGCCGCCCCCACCACGTCTGCACCACCAACCCTGCAGACGGCGGCGGGGCGGGAGGACTGGATGCAGGTAACGTGTTTATCGCAAATTAATTGTATTTAATTTATATAATTGCCTCGAAAACCATTAAAATAAATTGCATTATACATTCCGTTCTCGAAAAAAACTCAGCCCTGATCGCCCCGAGTGGCCGAATAAATGAACTTAATTTCGAATCACTTCTATATAAACTAAATACTAACCTTCATTTCTCGTTACAATAATCAAAGTAATGGAAATATAAGCTCGTTCACTTATAGTTGTATGAAGTTAAGTTTTTATTCATGTTTATTATTCAGATGCCTTCATTGTTCGGAACGTTCACGAGAGACGAGCTGCGGCAGCGCGAGGGCAGCAGGGCGCTGGCCAGGCAACAGGAGAAGAACAAGCCTCCTGATAAGGTTTATAATATATCAAATTGAAATGTATTTATAATACAATATAACATGTATCTATAATATAATATACTGAAATGTGTTTATATTACAATACAACGTATATGTAATGTATATTTTATTATATAGATAGAAATACAATACAATAATTGTAATATTATACTGTATGCAATATAGACAGCATATTGTATAAAATATAAGGTATAAAAATGTATGGTATTGCAATATGTTAATAAGAAATACTAATATTTTATTATCAGGGTATCGATATTCACGTCACTCGCCAAATACATGAATGAACTAAAACATTCACGCTTATGCCTCTTCGGAAATAAAACTTGTTTCATTGCTGTGAAGCGACAATTTTTATAACCCTTTATTTATTCAAACTTCAAAATCCTTTTCCATATTTTCAAAAAATATCTCCCAAATAAACTCTTGCAAAGAGTATTGAAGTTTTATTTTAATTGCTAAAGCCGATATTGTTTTTTGTAGCCGGGCTCCCACGCCCTGGAGCTGAACCCCTACTTTAGGGAGGGGGGGAGCGGTCTTCCCCAGGACGCCCCCAGCGGTGGGGAGGATGGGACACTGGGGCGCAGGGCCCCAAAGTTGGGATTTGGGGCCTCGGTGGCGTGGCTGAAGAAGGCCTTCCAGCGGGCCACGGAAGAGGCCCGGGAGGCGGGCCTGTCCATCGAGGAGGTCGCGGAGAAACGCTGGGGGGTGAGGCACGCTTCTGTATTGTGATCTGGATCTTCTTATTAATGATTATCTTTATATTGATTAAGACATGTATCAATGTTGACCTGTTTATGAAATTCTGATCTATATATTAATGTAGATATATGAATTTAAGTTAACCTATTTAATAAGGAAGAACTGTTATTAATTAGATCTTTTTAAGAGTATAGACCTGAACCGTGCTTATAGTGAGGAGACCGCCCAGCAAAGTTCAGTTTCAGCCATCAATCATAGTTCATTGAAAATAAAATATAATATTTATAATGTAATACATAATTTATTTCATATAATAAAGTTCACGAGGACAACCTGAATCTGCGGTAAAGAATCAGATTTTGTCAGGTTCGAAAAAATTGAAATTAAACGTAATTATTTGATCTGAACGCTGATCAAACGTTAATGTTTTGACGTGTAAGTTGACGTTACTTGACAGTCTCTGGCGAAGTAACGTCGCTGGTATTGACGTGTTACTTGACGTTACTTGACAGTCTCTGGCGCAGTAACGTCGCCGGTATTGACGTGTAACTTGACGTCACTTGACAGTCTCTGGCGCAGTAACGTCGCCGGTATTGACGTGTTCCTCGTCACATGCAGCGGCCTGCGGAGGCTGATGACTTCGTCGCCAGGTGACCTAGCCTAACTTAACTCAACTTAGCTTAACCTAGCCTCACCTAACCTAACTGAACTCAAGTAGACCCAACCTAGCCTAACTTAACTCAACTTGCCCCCCCAACCTGACCTTACTGAGCCCTATATCACTTAACGCAACCTTACCTAGTTTAACCTAGCCTAAAATTACCTAACTTTACCTCACCTTACCTAACTTAACGGAACCTCACTAACCGAACCTAACCTTATCTCACCTAATCTAGCCAAGTTCACCCAATCACCTAGCTAGCGTAATGTTACCTAACGTAATAGCGTATCCTTACCTAACCCAATCTCTATTAATTCAAGACGTGGCGGCAAAGACAGAAGGCATGCAGACACAAGACGAAGAAGTCGGTCCCCCGATGTTTCCCCCGCCACTCGCCGGTCCCCCGTAACCCGCGGGTCCCCCACTTCCATAAGCCGAAGTCCTGAAAGACGTTACGGCAAGTCCCGACGTGGTGAACGCAGCCCCAGAAGACGACGCTCGTCATCTTCTTCGTCGTCGTCTTCAGAAGACCATAGACGAAGTCGCAGACGTGATCAAAAACTGCAGACATCATCGTCGGATGATGAGAGACGAGAGAGACGAGGGCAAAGTGAGAGACGAGGGCGAGACGAGGCGAGTTTGTCGTCACGTTCAAATGACCGCAGACTTCTGAAGCCTGGCGAGGGTCGGAGCGACGAAGGACGTGACGTGCGCGGCAGGTGCGTTGTGCTTCAATATTTAAAGCGGTTGCCACGTGTCCCTGATGATAACTTTAACAATATAAACTATTACAATTATTTATCATAATTAAAGATTCGCAATCTAAATACTTTATCGAATTTAAATTAATGATTCAGAAAAATTGTTTGACAATTTTTTGGGGAGCCCCCAAAAAATTATTTTTTGGTTGAACAAAGATTAGTGAAGTCGTGAGTCTTATTAGCTTTTCTTTGTTGGTCAAAGGTAAGTTTTTGGGTTTGGATCTATTCGTTAAAGTTTGGGCAAAGATCGAAGCTCTTGCATATGGGTCATCCTGACGCAGTTTGGTCCGGCTTTGGGGCGTATCAGTGCTACGTTTAATTGTTCTCCGCTAGTGTCTGTGGATAAGAAAGCTTGTCATCCCTTAGACAATATACCCCGTTCATTTTTGTGACTGTACAATACCATACTCTGACTATGCGTTTCTCAAAAATGTTTCTTAGCTTTTAAAAACATTTATACTTTTTTGTCCTAATTTGATACTTTTTTCTCCAAATTTCCTACTTTTTTGTCAAAATTTTTAATTTTTTTCGTCCTAAATTTATACTTTTTTGTAAAAATTTGTTACTCATTTCATCTGAATTTTATAATTTTGTCAAAATTTTATATTTTTTTGTCGAAATTTTTTACTTTTGTGTTAAAATTTTTTACTTTTTTCTCCAAATTTTTTACCTTTTCTTCAAATTTTTTACTTTTTCTCCAAATTTTTTACTTTTTTCTCCAATTTTTTTATATGAATCTTTATCTCCTTCTGAAACAAATGATCTTTTTCCTGCCACCTTGCGTGTGTGAGCAGCGACCGCGCGGTGTGGGAACCTGCGCGCCTGCTGCCCAGCAGCGCTGCCCCCCCCGGCGGCGGCTGGAGGAAGAGACCCCGCCACCCCGACACCTGTGGTGGTGGTGGGCAACCACACATACTGCAGGTCTGTGTGGCATGTATAATGCACATATACAGTTGTGATGCATGTATCAGTGTTGTGTGTGATGTCGGCATCTTTGATTCGTCTACAGGATCATCAATATTTAGCGTTACATTGTTTTTTCAAAATCAATACACTCGCAAAACAGTCAAATGTGTCGTATGGAACCATGTCGACTTTTCTCCGGAAGGACCTAAAGTTGTCCCCATTCAAGCATGTCAAAAAACACCAACTGTCTGCTCAAGTTGTTGACAAACGCCTCCAAAGATCCAAGATTCTTCTTTCCCGCATTCATGATGGCACGCTGCCAAACCTCGTTTTCAGTGATGAGAAGATATTCAATGTTGAACACCACTTCAACTCCCAAAATGATCGAATTTGGTCAAAGAATGGGACGAAGGATCCCGTGTGGTGACTAGGAAGCAATGCCCGACCTCAGTGATGGTCTGGGCAGCCGTAACAGTCTTCAAGGAGTCCCCTCTTTTTCGTTGACAAAGGGGTGAAATTGAATCAGAAGAACTATCGAGATGCCATCCTTGTTGGTGCATTGTTGCCCTGGGCGCGAAAGCACTTCAAAAAACGTCCCTGGTCGTTCCAGCAGGACTCTGCACCATCCCATTGGGCCAAATCGACTCAGGAGTGGCTGTCCGAGAATGTTCCCCACTTCATTACCAAAGATGAATGGCCCCCATCGTCACCCAATCTGAATCCTCTGAATTTTGGGATCTGGTCATACCTTGAGAGCAAAGTCTCGACCGTTCACCATAGCAGTTTGGACGCCCTAAAGGTCAAACTGCTGAAGGAGTAGGCCAAAATCCCGCAGAGTCATTCGTGTCGTGTATAAGGCTTTCTCTAAGCGTCTACAACTCGTTATTGATGCAGATGGTGGACATATTGAATGAAATTTTGGGAATTGTATCTCTGAACCTCTGCCTACATAAATACATTTTCAAACATTCACAATTATGTTTCATTTCATAGTTCTAACCACTCAAAGTTGTAACGCTAAATATTGATGACCCTGTAGTTATTTAAAGTCAGCCTGCGTTACTTGTTACGTCATTATGATATGCTGATTATTAATTTGATTCTCTAGGATTCCATAACCACCGCAACGCTCGTTATCAATATGAAACATTCAAGTTCAAAATCAAAATATGGCACGTGAGCTCAATTATTTGTTACTTGTACTTGCGATGCATACAGAGAAGAGGGAAGTTACTTACTCATGCGACTTGTCTTTATTTGAGCAAAATTTTCTCACTCTTGAGTTATTATTTCATGCAAGGAGAAATGTTTTCATGATGTTTAATTTCCCTATATTTACATTGAGCAGTCAGAAGAGCCACGTTCTGATGAAAAATCTCACGCCCGAGACACCGCCTCGCCAGCACCAGTTAAGGACAGTAGTCATAGTGTTCCCGATCCCGCTCCCAATCCTGCCGATCCCGATCCCGCTAATCCAAACCCCGACCACGACCCCAAACCCAAGAGGGTCTACACCGATCACGAGCTCAACCAGATCGGGGCTAAGATCGTGAAGGCTGAACTGTTGGGCAACCTCGCGCTGGCTGAGAAGCTCAAGAAGAAGTTGGAGAGAGCGAAGCAAGAGACGCTGGAGGCGTTAGCGGCGGGTGGTGGCGGTGGCGGTACGAGCGGCGGCACCACGCTGGAGACGGTGTTGCTCACCACCACCAACGCCAGAGGTGAAGGGATGTTCGAATAGATTTTTTCTTATACCAGAAATGTATGGAATAATAATTTAAATTGATTGCTTGAGAAGTTTTTCATCTTGAGTGTACGAAATATTAAATTAAAAAGGTACAGCGCACGTGAGAATTCATCAATCTATATTCATCTACAGTGAGAATTCATCTATAAGACCGCCCAACGACGAAATAAGAACATATCTTTCAATGGGTAAATGTTCATGCATGTTGATTACATATTGTGCTCTGAATTATTTTGCTGATAAATTTGCATGAATACAAAATAAACTTCTCAGTTTCCAGTGTCTATTGATTTCATGTAATAAATTATCCTACCTACCTAGGATTCACGCGACCAGTCTCCTCCGTGGAGCAAGATTCGTCGCCTGGCAAGACCAAGTCCCGCAAGAAGACCAAAGTCTCGGGGACGGGAGTGGACGGCAGCCGTGACAAATACTTCCCTGACGACCACAAGTTTAGCCTGCAGCAGATGTTTGAGAAGGAGAAGCAGGGAACCACGGAGGACTCGGACGCCATGTTCGTCCGAGCCGCCGGCAGGGCGCAGAAGGCTTCGCTTGACGACGACTACACGCTTGATGATTCCTTCGTCGACACGTCGGCNTGCGGGAGGACAGGGCCGGGCAGGATTCCCGTGACAGGATGAGAGCCATCATGGTGCGAATGGCTTTAGTGGCATGCATTTTATAAAAAATTGCTTTTCTTCATTGCTGTAACTTTGCTTTTAAACGGTATATATCAGGATTCCCGTGACAGTATGAGAGCCATCATGGTGCGAATACTTTGGTTTAATGGCATCGATTTTATAAAACATTGCCTTGGTTCAGTGCTAAAACCTTGCTTATAAACGATATTATGGTTGAATAGTTTAGAGGATGAGAGCGATTATGGTGAGAATATTTTGGTTAAGAGGTATGGATTTTATAAAAAATTGCTTTTCTTCATTGCTAGAACTTTGCTTTTAAACGGTATATGTTGATCAAAATATTACGGTTGAACAGTAAAGAGAATGAGAGCCATCATGGTGCGAATATTTTGGTTTAATGGCATGCATTTTATAAAACATTGCCTTGGTTCATTGCTAAAACTTTGCTTATGAATGTTATATGTGCGGCAAAATATTATGGTTGAATAGTAGGTTCATTGCTCAAACCTCGTAAACTACTCAACTGTTGAAATTTATTGAATAATTAAAACGAAATTTAGTCTAGAAAAAAATATTTCAAAAAAGTTATCCCGAATGGCTCTCTTTCACTTAAGAAGAATTGAGACTACAATTCACTTCTTCTCATTAGTTTCGTCCAGACTATCTTAAAATTATGGAATATTATAATTATTCTAAATTGTATCGTCCAGACTATTTTCGAATTATGGAATATTATAATTGTTATAAATTGTATCATTATAATATTGTGGTAAATTGACGTTCAGGAGCACCAGCGACGCGAGAAAGCCCTGGCGTCGTGCAGCCTTTGCTGCGACGGCGCCAACATGAAGAAACATTTGCTGGTGTCGCTGGGCAGTAAAAGCTACGTGAGCCTCCCCGCCCACGAGAGCCTCGTGGACGGCCACTGCTTGATCGTCCCACGTGATCACGTCTCCACGTCCACCCTCCTCGACGAGGACGTGTGGCTTGAGATGATGGTTAGACTTCGTCTCAGTGTGTCAAATGGGGCTTTATTCTTCAGGAGTAGAAGGTTGTATCAGAACCTTAACCCTCTACCGACGTATGTCACTCTCCGGGAACATAACTTTAAAGTTAACCCTCTACCGCCGTATGTCCCTCTCCGGGAACATAACTTTAAAGTTAACACTCTACCGACGTATGTCATTCTCCGGGAACATAATTTTTAACTTGAATTATACGTAAACTATTGAGTGTAGCAACCTGAGGACGTTTGTACGCAACAGAGATCATTTTAAAGTTGTCGTACTTGGCGGCAACCATCAGTGCAAGTCATTTTGCGCTCACTAGAACGTATCCTTTTTGGGAAGTAGGCGCGTGACAATATTGCTCCGGTTACTCGTGTCAGACGGTAGAGGGTTGAGTTGATCGTAACTACTCAGAACATTTCTATTGGTCTGCAATATCGTCAAATTTTCGGGAATTTTCATCCAAAATAACTTTCATTTCACTTTACTCACATCTGCCTAAGGCTACGGTCAAATTATTAAAGATTCAAAGCGGTAAACAATATTAAATTTCACTTCAAAGTCGAAAAGAATATTTAATTTCACTTTAAAGTCGAAAACAATTTTTAATTTCACTTCAAAGTCGAAAACAATTTTTAATTTCACTTCAAAGTCGAAAACAATATTAAATTTCGCCTCAAAATTGAAACAATAATATATTTCGCTGTATTTATTCGAGCAGGAGTACCGCAAGTCGCTGGTGCGCTACTTCAGCAGCGTGCAGCAGGACGTCGTGTTCCTCGAGTGCTGCATGAGGCTGCGGGCACAGCCCCACACGGCGGTACACTGCATACCTCTGCCCCGAGACCTGGGGGACCTCGCGCCTATTTATTTCAAGGCAAGTCTCTCTTTAATATCTCAATTGCCTTTAATTTCTCAATTCTTCAGTTTATGAACTTTTCTCTCGGAAATGTCTCTCCCATTTATTGTATGTCTTATCTTCAGTTAATATGGAAGAAAAACAATTTGTCTCAATCGCCGGATACTGTAACGTTTTTTTTTTTTTTTGCGTAGGTACATAATNAAATTGAAACAATAATATATTTCGCTGTATTTATTCGAGCAGGAGTACCGCAAGTCGCTGGTGCGCTACTTCAGCAGCGTGCAGCAGGACGTCGTGTTCCTCGAGTGCTGCATGAGGCTGCGGGCACAGCCCCACACGGCGGTACACTGCATACCCCTGCCCCGAGACCTGGGGGACCTCGCGCCTATTTATTTCAAGGCAAGTCTCTCTTTAATATCTCAATTGCCTTTAATTTCTCAATTCTTCAGTTTATGAACTTTTCTCTCGGAAATGTCTCTCCCATTTATTGTATGTCTTATCTTCAGTTAATATGGAAGAAAAACAATTTGTCTCAATCGCCGGATACTGTAACGTTTTTTTTTTTTTTTGCGTAGGTACATAATTGTACGACTTAAATGGCTGTCGTGTGATAAAAGTAATGCATTATATAATGCATATTATATTATATAATGATGTCATTCTATGACATCATTATATAATTTCCGGCACAATTGCTGATTATATTGATCAAAAAAAATAATGTAACCAAATTCCAATTAGAAGCTTAGAGTTGTGAGAGACTTGCGCATCACTGCTGTGTCGTGTGATGCATGTTAGCCTATGTCTCATCATCTGATGGATGTTGAGTTACATNACGGTCTCGTTTTACGCGTCGAAATCACAATGCAAACTATTGGAAGTATGGAAACATGGAAGTTAGATAACAGCGAAGTTTTCAAATAAACGACTAATAACTTGCAATCTTGTATTTAGGGCATACGTCAGAAATAAATTTGGAAGAGCAAATTGTAATCAAACAACAAGTATGGCAGGAATATATGTATATGACAAAAACTATAATCCATTGTAATTCATTAGCAGGTACACGTAACTAAACAGAATGCCGTCATATCTAAAAACACGGAACTGTACAAATTGAATTAGTTCACTATAAGCAGAATGGATAACTTTATTCGTCACTGCAATGTCTTGTTATTCCTTATAATTGAAACGTTAAGTATTTATGACTTGGGACGCTTTAATAAATCTTGTGTGCATTCATAAAATTGTATTAGATGAAGCGTTATATATTCTTGATTTTAACTGGTTCCCTCATAGTGCATCTTGTATATCACTCATTCATGGATTTCATTCGATGTATGCAGTCAGTGGTGATTTTAATTAATTTCCTCATAATGCAGCTGGTACATATTCATTCCTTCATTGTATGTATGCAGTCAGTGGTGGGCGGTATGCTGGACGTGGAGGCGCGTCTGTGGAGGAAGCCAAAGCTCGAGACGTTCGACCAGCAGCGTCGTAAAGTGATCGCCTTCGCCAAACATTACGAACAATACGATCCTGTTCAAGATAAATGATTAAGTGGAGATTATTAAGTATAATATTATGTAATATTTTGTATATTATTCGTCTAATGTTCTGGAGAGTAAAAGAGGATAGCGTATAATTGGCTGAGGGGGAATTACATGTTGTACATTGGCCAAGATCATTGTACTGCAAGTCGCTGTTGATCAAATAGGATTGAAATGAAGAATTTGTTGAAATTTGACTTTGAATTCAAAACCCGAAGAAAGTCTCTTTCCTATGTTTTTATGATGTTTTTCTCTATATATTAATTATCATTGAGTCATTATATTTGATCTTCATACTCTAGCTCCTTCGGACTACCTAGTTAAGTTACATAAAAAATATATATCTATCAACCTAGGTAAAGCTTTCCTCCAATCATTGGGAACTTGTACCACGACGATTGAAAAATGGTTCTCTTACAATTAGATGTAACTTTTGAAAAATTTGTTCTCTAACGATTGGATGTAACTTGTGACAATTTGTTCTCTAACGATTGGATAATTGTTCTTTCATGAAAGTTCCGGCCTATTGCTCACCAGCGTAGGCCTAAATCCTGGCCTTGCGACATATCTTGTCATAAACTTGAGGGAAAGCCGTGGTCGTGTCACGATATTTCTCACGGAGTTTGTCGTACAAACTGTGGTCGAACATCGCACGGAACTCTTCCCTCGTCATGTACGAGTCCGCGTACAGCATCTGAAATCTTTACACAAAATTACTTCACGATAAAAAACTTTACGTGTGAACGAGGATAGAATTTATTGGCATCAACTTGTTTAGTCTCATCGGTTATATCGTGACAACCAAACTGAAACCGTCCAGAAAGCAAGATAGATTTTGATCTCGCTCCGTTTATCTTGAAATAATCTTTCAGCACATCACCAGACAAGAAAAATTCTGCTCAAAAGACATATAAATAGCAACAAATGTAAAAATGGTAACAGGGCTTAAGTCAATTAATTTAAAAACCGTCAATTATGTAAATGTTACCTATAAATTCGTCAAAGATTCAGTTTAATTAAGAGGTCAAGAGTCGTATAAGTATGGGGAGAAATCTATAAGAAAACACTTACCCTTTTTTATCTCGTACAAATTGTTCGACTCGTCGGGTGGTATCGACAGGGTGGAAGTTCTGGACACGAGGCACGCCGTACGTGCCGATGTCGACGTAGAGAGCGTCCTTGCCTCCTGCAGGCTGCAGCATGCCAGGGCGTGCCGGTAGCAGGAATGGGCACAGCCAGATCGGGTATATCTGCAGGTATAAACATGCGTTAATCCTCTACTGCCGTATGTTGTAGTGAACGTCTCGAAAATATATTATTTCATTTTGTCACTATGGGATCACCAGTTGTGGGATCTCGCTATTTTAGCCTCAAAGTTCATGAACACGTTCTAAAAGGATACCCACAAACTTTGAGATATCAGGAGGGTGTTTCAAAGAAGAAGAGATGCTTTCAATTCTTTCTTAAATCTTGGCATTTGGTCTGAGCTACTCTTTTAGTGGCCTCCCTCAAATGTCAAGATTTAAGAAAGAAAATTGAAAGCATCTCTTTCAATTTTCACAATGTCATTCTCCGGGAACATAACTGTCAACTAAAATTATACGTTAACTGTTGAGTGTAGCAACCTGAGGACGTTTGTACGCAACAGAGAACATTTTAAAGTTGTTGTACGTGGTGGCATCCATCAGTGCAAGTCATTTTGCGCTCACTAGAACCTATCCTTTTTGGGAAGTAGGCGCGTGACAATATTGCTCCGGTTACTCGTGTCAGGCGGTAGAGGGTTAAACATGCCCAGCGAAATCGGAAAAATTGGAAGAAAACGAAAAAACTGTGGAAGCACAAACATGCTGGCAACAAGAAAGTAGAATCTCAGCCAGCTTTGCCACAGCTACAACAACGACCGTTGTCGCGCTGCTTGGGTGCAACTGTACCTATTTTAGGTGCGATTGTTAACGTTGCAAATTTATGCGGTTTGTCTAGAGTTAAATGATAACTGAGACCATACAATTTCACCAATTATTGCCTACCAATTTAAATAATCACGGATTTCAAATGATTTCCACCGAAGGGAATAACTTGAACCTCTGTCAAATCAACACAAAAAGTTGTGAAGAAATCTGATCTGATTTTTATGGTGCATAGACGAGTAGACGAGAAAAAAGTATTTACTACCGTTCGTTCGCCCCAAGGCTATAAACTAGATCGTGAGGTCTCGGCATGGCATTGCATTAACCTGAAAAACAACGCAACATAATTCCTCCGAACTTGCAACTCTCCGTGAAAACAATCCTAGCTCGATCAGGGACGCAAGACAACAAAACTTCTTATCAAGACAAAAGTTCTTGGTGTAATATTGCATAAATTTTAACGTGCTAAATTGCAACAGAATTTTTCGTACCTGCACTTCTTTATGAAAACAATCAAGCGCCTCCCCCAACGTGTTCAGGGGCACTAGCATGTCTTGGATGAAGTGGTTCTGCTCGTAGAGCTCCTTCACCGCCTCGCCCTGCGTCAGCTTCAGCAGCGACACCTTGGGCGGCACCAGCCACCCCAACACGTAGCGGAACACAGCGTTGTTTTCGTAAGTTCATCAGCCAATCATTGACGGCCTTTTAAGCAAAATACACCAATCGTAAACAAGAAAATAGTGCGTAAGTACTTACGTTCACTTAGCGAGGTTTGAAAGTATGGCCCCTGAACATTTCTATTGTTCTGTAATATCGCCAGATTATCGGGAATTTTTATCCGAAATAACTTTTTATTTCACTTTACTTACATCTTCCTAATGCTACGGTCAAATTATTAAAGATTCAAGGCGGAAAACAATATTAAATTCACTTCAAAATCGAAAACAATATCAAATTTCACTTCCAAGTCCAAAAAACAATATTTAATATCACTTCCAAGTCCAAAACAATATTAAATTTCACGTCAAAGTCAAACAAACAATATCAAATTTCCCTTCAAAGTTGACACAATATTTAATTTCACTTCAAAGTCGAAAAAACAATATTTAATATCACTTCCAATTCCAAAACAATATTAAATTTCACTTCAAAGTCAAAAAACAATATTAAATTTCACTTTAAAATCGAAAACAATATTAAATTTCACTTCAAAGTCGGAAACAATAATAAATTTCACTTCAAAGTCCAAAATAATATTAAATTTCACTTCAAAGTCGAAAACAATATTTAATTTCCCTTTAAAGTCGAAAACAATATTTAATTTCCCTTTAAAGTCGAAAACAATATCAAATTTCACTTCAAAGTCGAAAACAATATTAAATTTCACTTCAAAGTCGAAAACAATATTAAATTTCACTTTAAAGTCGAAAACAATATCAAATTTCACTTCAAAGTTGAAAAGAAAACAATATTAAATTTCACTTCAAAGTCGAAAACAATATTAAATTTCACTTCAAAGTGGAAAACACTATCAAAATTTACTTCCAAGTCGAAAACAATATCAAATTTCACTTCATAATCGAGAACAATATTAAATTTCACTTCAAAATGGAAAGAATATTTAATTTCGCTGTATTTATTCGAGCAGGAGTACCGCAATAGTATATGGTGGCCTGACACACTATCACAGAGGACATTTCGTCAATATAGCAATTCATCATTGACGCGTTGCATCACCATAACATTCCATCATTGACGTGTTTCATCACTATAAAATTTCATCATTACAAACTGCATATCTAGAAGTCCATGTAGATGAACCCTATAATGTGATGAGCCAGGGAGTCGCAATATGTATGGGCTCAGCAATACATATTATATATATTGCTTATTATATTTAGTGCTTATTTATATATGCAGTATGCAAATGTTTGCTTCTGCCAGCGCTGGGCTACAAAGTTTCTACGGATGTGAGCGGCAGAGAACAGCGCGCATTGACGGTCTCGTTTGACGCGTCGAAATCACAATGCAAACTATTGGAAGTATGGAAACATGGAAGTTAGATAACAGCGAAGTTTTCAAATAAACGACTAATAACTTGCAATCTTGTATTTAGGGCATACGTCAGAAATAAATTTGGAAGAGCAAATTGTAATCAAACAACAAGTATGGCAGGAATATATGTATATGACAAAAACTATAATCCATTGTAATTCATTAGCAGGTACACGTAACTAAACAGAATGCCGTCATATCTAAAAACACGGAACTGTACAAATTGAATTAGTTCACTATAAGCAGAATGGATAACTTTATTCGTCACTGCAATGTCTTGTTATTCCTTATAATTGAAACGTTAAGTATTTATGACTTGNATTTGTGTTTTTTGCTCAAAGCTTATTGTTTGTAGACGGAATTTGTTGGTTTATTATAGGTTTATTTTATATTGTAGGGAGTAAAGATGTTATTTTGACTGTGTTTTGTGACTATGCGTACCCGCAACCTTTGTCTTATTCAACTCGCAGGGAGCTGTCTCTTATACACATCTAGATGTGTATAAGAGACAGGGGTATATCTGTAGGTATAAACAGAGCTGGGCAGCGCTACTTTGAAATGTAGCGGCCGCTACCGCTACATGCTCTAAATGTAGCGGGCGCTACCGCTACTGAAAATATAGCGGCCGCTACATGTAGCGCGCTACTGCCCACCTCTGGGTATAAACATGCGTTAACCCTCTACCGCCGTATGTCACTCTCCGCGAACATAACTTTCAAGTTAAACTATACGTAAACTATTGAGTAGGGCGACCTGAGGACGTTTGAACGCAACAGAGAAAATTTTAAGATTGTACGTGGCGGCAGCCATCAGTGCAAGTCATTTTGCGCTCACCAGAACGTATCCTTTTTGGGAAGTAGGCGCGTGGCAATATTGCTCCGGTTACTCATAATAATAATAATAATATAATAATAGCGGTTTCAGCGTTTATTAGGCCGTAGGCCTGTCGCCGATTCTTAACATCGCAGAACATTCACAGCATTTTGCGGTCTCGAACTCGCAACTCACTGCTACAATTCTGCTGTGCTTAACCGCCCGGCCTCCTTGCCGATTCTGACCAGAAACTGGCGCACAGAGCTGGGATCGAACCCGCGCCTCTCTGCGCCAATCTTGGTACTCTGAACTGTAACCACTGGGCCACCCTGCCTCATGTCAGGTGGTAGATGGTTAAACATGCCCAGCGAAATCAGAAACGTTGGCAGAAAATGAAAAAAGACAGTGGAAACACAAACATGCAGTGAAAAAGAAAGTAGAACAGCATTTAACTTTGCCACAGCAACAACAACAGCCCCTTGCAACAACAACGGCCTCTGACTGCATGGGTGCAACTGTACCTATTTTAGGTGCGATTGTTAACATTGCGAAATTATTGTGCGGTCTGACAAGAGTTAAATGATAACGGAGACCACACGATTTCTCCAATTATTGTCTAACCATTCAAATAATTGCGGACTTCAAACGATTTCCATCAAAGGGAATAACTGAAACTTCAGTCACGTCGACACAAAAAGTTGTGAATGAATCTGATATGATTTTTATGGTGTACTGAAAAGCAAAAAATTAATTCAATCTATCTATTTTCTATTTTCGATCTATTTCATAGCCTTTCGCCACAAGGCTATGAAATAGATCGTAAGGCCTCGGCAAGGTATTGCATTAACGTGAAAAGACAACGCAACAGAATCCTTCTAACTTGCACTTCTCCCTGAAAACAATCGAACGCACTGCCCAGCTCGATCAGGGAAGCAAGATTACAAAGGTACTTAATTTGATTTTTATTTATTTATTCACACAGGAGCACACGTTTTAATGAAATACGAAAAAGACGTGAAATAAAATAGCAAAGCTTCCAGGTGAATGCTTATATACGCTAAAAAGCTTCGCAGGCAACACAATATGTAGGTACAAAACTCAATTCTAATGATAACAAGACAAAGAGAGCAAACAAGTAACAAATTTTTAAATAATCAAAAATAAGAACAAGAATAATCCTGATAAGGGGTTGTTTTTATCAAGACAGAAGTTCTTGGTGTATAGTCACATAAATTTTAATGTACTAAATTGCAGATGAATTTTTCGTACCTGCACTTCCTTGTGAAAACAATCAAGCGCCTCCCCCAACGTGTTCAGGGGCACTAGCATGTCTTGGATGAAGTGGTTCTGCTCGTAGAGCTCCTTCACCGCCTCGCCCTGCGTCAGCTTCAGCAGCGACACCTTGGGCGGCACCAGCCACCCCAACACGTAGCGGAACACAGCGTTGTAACAACTTGATAGTTACGGTCTAATCTATATTTTGATAAAATGCATCATCATTTTGCTGCATGATCTCCTGGAAGAAACTATGTGATAGTTACGGTCGAATATATATCATGATTAATGCATCATCATGTTGCTGCATGATGTCCTGGAAGAATACGTGATAGTTACGGTCTAATATATGTTTTGATTAATGTTCTATCATGTTGCTGCATGATGTCCTGGAAGAAACAACTTCATAGTTACGGTCGAATATATATTTTGATATAATGCATTATCATGTTGCTGCGTGATGTGAAGAAACAACTTGATAGTTACGGTCTAATCTATATTTTGTTTAATGCATTATCATGTAGCTGCATGATGTCATGGAAAAAACTATGTGATAGTTACGGTCTAATATATGTTTGGGTTAATGCATCATCATTTTGCTGCATGATATCCTGGAAGAAACAACTTGATAGTTACGGTCGAATATATATTTTGATATAATGCATTATCATGTTGCTGCATGATGTTCTGGAAGAAATTACGTGATAGTTACGGTCTAATATTCTCATGTTGCTTCTAGTGAAGAGCTAGCGTTCCTCCGTTAACTAACATATATATTATGAATGTAATCAATTAGGAGAGTTAATGAAGTTTAATACTCGGATCAGAACACAATTAACCTTCAGCCATTTCTACTACTACACTACAGGTGTACGTAGTTTCCAAGCAGTAAAGAGAAAAAATCTTAACTTTCCTCTACAAAATTCCAAATCACTTATTTAATGAACTAACTAATTAACATAGTCTGCAGTCGCTCACTAGTATACTGGTCCAGTGGTTACTTAGACCGGTTTACTGGTGAGCGAATGTTTGACTTTATTCTCTTCAGAGCACCAAGATTGCCGCGGTGAATTGTGGCTGCGAGACCGCAACGAACTGTGAAAATTCCGCAATGTTCGCAATCTGCGCCAGGTCTAATGGTCTAATCCCCGTTATTTGTTATTTATTTCTGTACCTGCAGCTCACCAGATCTAATGGCCTAATCCCTAATATTTATTTATTATTTAATCTCTGTTATATTTATATCTGCTATTTGTTATTTATTTGTGTACCTGGAGCTCCCAGAAGATGGAGCGCGTGTGACGATGGTAGTAATCCCTCAGAGGGATAAACTCGTACGCTGGTCCTGATACCAGGAAGCTCTGGACGTGCTTGAAGAACCATGGCTTGTACCATCGTCCTATGCTGTTCACCTGCACAACAAACAAGATGATTTACAGGATTAAACACATACAGGCTCATTAGAGCGTTTTTTTAGCGCATTTTCTCGTTTATGTGAAAAATGCATTATTGTGCTCGCCATGTCCGTCTGTCCGTCTGTCTGTCTGTCCGTGACTTCATGTTTTCGTCGACGAGAAAATGCGCTCTCTGTCACTCACTGCAGTGAGTACTGAGTTATATTTTTTGAGATTCAGTGCAATGAATCAATTGTTGGGCATCTTGAAGACCGTGACAACCACTCGAGAATTAAAATGTTGAAGACCATTACCGCCACGCGAGAAGTAAAAGGTAGTCTGTAATACAAGACGTATCACTACTACCTTCACTACCTTGCCAGGCTCTGCAGAGTCTGTCATGTTGCAGACCATGACCACGGCCTGTACAGCACTTCACTACCTTGCCAGGCTCTGCAGAGTCTGTCATGTTGCAGACCATGACCACGGCAGTGTCCCTCGAGAAGCACAAGGCCTCCACGAACTGGTTGCCGTCCTCCTGCCTCGTGGCGGCGCTGAAGCGCTGCAGCAGCAGCTGCCTGCTGTGGCACGGCGCGTAGTCCACGCGCACGAACCTGCACGCAACATTGTCGGGCGCGTCAGTCTTGATGAATAATAAATACAATGTCTTGTATAATATAATAATAATTATATAATAATTATTATTATCTGAATAATAACAATGTCTTGATGAATAATAAATATTCGGCAGCAAGGACACGGGTGACATCAAGGAGGACACGGGTGATATCAAGGAGGACACGGGAGACATCAAGGAGGACACGGGAGACATCAAGGCGGACACGGGAGACATCAAGGACACGGGGGACATCAAGGAGGACACGGGAGACATCAAGGAGGACACGAGAGACATCAAGGACACGGGAGACATCAAGGACACGGGAGACATCAAGGACACGGGAGACATCAAGGACACGGGAGACATCAATGACACGGGAGACATCAAGGACACGGGAGACATCAAGGACACGGGAGACATCAAGGACACGGGAGACATCAAGGACACGGGAGACATGAGTGACATCAAGGAGGACACGGGAGACATCAAGGAGGACACGGGAGACATCAAGGAGGACACGGGAGACATCAAGGA